GCCTTCTTCAAACCCTGTTTAATATTGGGCAACTATGATTTGCAATGCAGAAAACAAAGACGAAATCACAGAATACAGTTATAAAAATGGAATGTACAGTTTAACGTGGAATGTCACAGAATTCTGCAAATTTTGGATGAATAAATCAAAAGAATTGGGGGGAAAAATTATAAATATATATTTCCTATTAATGTGCTGTGGCCACTATAAGACACTAGGTGGTCAAGAAATTTGCATAAGAACATTTTCATGAACGAATTGTGATTCATCCAATAATTTTCATACTAATATTTATTCTACATTTAAGAAGATCTAGAAACAACTGAAAACCAAACATTCGCAAAAAATCTCATACTCTGTGTGGCCTGTTAAGACGAAATTTTATATTACATCTTAAAGACGCAGAGGTTTATATGTACAGATAATAAAGGTGTTTATTAGGTCTGAACTGGTTTTGAAGATGGTACACTTAGCTTTGCTTGCTTGCTAGAGGACTTTGCTTGGCTCGCAAAAATTACACACTTCACCTTTAGAGCCAGCTGTCAAAAACATGCATTGGTCTACTGTATATTTCTTCATGACTTTCAAATAAATGAGTCTAGAATGTTCTTTCTGTATTTGATGAGCAACACTCACATATTAGACGACAAACCTTAAGAACAACAAAAAGCCACTGATGAAGTCAACAGAAAGTGTGGCAGAACTTTTCCGAATCATTATATATAAATAACTTCAGATGTGAACGAGTGAAAATTGTGAAGATCTGCTCAGGCTCACAGAAAGAAAATCATTTCCGGCAGCCATTACTCCAGTCTTCAGTGTCACATGATCCTTCAGAAATCATTCTAATATGCTGATTTGGTGCTTATAACATTTTTTATTACTATCATTGATGAAAACATAATTGGTGTATCAAGAAGATTCATTTCTATGGCATGTAGACGGATGATGAACACCGGGTCAAAGTGTTTAGTGAGTACAGGGGTGAGGAGGTGGAGTTAGAGACAGTCTATGAGCTGATGCATGTTCAAACATGATGGTACACAGATATGTGCAAAGTGGGTATTAATATTTAACAGTAACGTAGTGGCTATGCTAAAAACAAGAAAAATGTTTAAAACCAAAAGCCTCTTGAGAGGTTACTGAAACAACCAAAGATTTCCGGTGTGAAATCTGCAAGATACAGTACTTCCCATTGTGGTTTCAGAAACCCAAAACAAAACCACTACGCTCGTATCTCAAGAGGGTAGTGTCATTTGTGTTGAAACTGGTGTAACTTATCATAATACTTTAAAAACAACTTAATAAATCCTTTTAGACCCATCTAGTGTCTTGAAGACTTAAGGTTATACCCAACATGAAAAACTGTTTTAACCAGTATAAGCTGGTTTAAGGTGGTCTCTCAGCCTGGCCAAGCTGGTGTTCATTTGGTTTAACCAGCAAATGAACCGGTCAAATAGAACGACCAGCTAAAATGTGTCCAAAACAGCTTGAAACCAGCTTAGGCTGGTTTGAGATGGTTGTTTTCAGTAGGACAGGACTTCGTGACCTAGTCTTGGACTGAATATTTCCTGAATGCATTATGCAGAGGCATTAAAAAGAGTCTTGTGAATGATTAACTGGGCTTGCAGATGAAAGTCCTGCTATCAGAATGAACAACAAGATGTGTCATATATCTGATTTACAAGCCTGTATACATCATCATCAGATAGCTATTAATTAAATCAACCACATTACATCATCACTAACATAAAAGCAATCTAATATTTGATTAAAATTAATATGATATTTCATAAGCTGGTCCAAGACAGAAGGTAATTGTGTCATCAATCTTTCTAGAATAGCTTTGCTAATTTAGCAACCAAATGCTACACGAGTTAATAAGGTTACAGATTAATCCTGTTTTCAAGCTAAATCTGGCCGAAATAACCGCTATCGCGTCTGTCACTATCTTTTACGTGAATAACGATAGCATGATTTGAAGTGCTGAGGTATTTAATATTTTTAACCTCTTTCACCACCTCAATCTATCACACCATGCTAACGAGTTAGCAGGGAGTTGGAGTGCCACGCCAGGTCATTGTTTACATTGCTGACTACCTTCGATTCTCAGATTCGTCGGATCGCTCATAAACTACTGATTGTCTGACTAACTGATAGTCTTGTGTTTATAAATAACGGCATTTTATTTATCCGTTCAGAAATGGATCATTAAAAAGTAGCATAAAGGGACTGACACTTTGAATTTACTTCATTTCCTATGGCTGCCTCAGAATCAAGATAAAGAGTATGGAGATGATAATAGACAATAAGGGGTTTTGTGGGTAAAATCTGTGTATCTGGGAGTATAACTGAATTTATTTATTCATGTGGCCTGCAAAACACTCCAGCTAACCTTATATTTCCAGCCACGAGCCCATATGTTGCACGATTGACCCACATAAATTGAACATAATGATATTTTACTGACAAAGCAGTTAAAATCCATAGGATGTGATTGTGATTTCTGTAATTATGCTGCTAAAATCTTTAACCAACGGGCACAAATGACTGGAGCTAACGACACAACCAACTGATATTTCTCCAGCTAGGTTGTCATAAACCACATTTTCAACCTAACGCTGGTTGTCAAAACCAATATTATAGAGATTTTTGCACTTGATGCATTATTTATGGTAGAAAAAAAGACTGCAAATGCCCAGTGCGACCCAACCTCCCCACCCGAACAATGTCCCGCAGCCTCGCGAGTTTCGGGCTTACCAGATTTGAAGAACGTCGCTATATCGGCCGCGTCCTTAGCCGCCTCCTCGGCCCCTTCCCCCGAGCTCATGGCTGTGGCGAAAAACACAAAAAACTAATATCCAAATCTAAAGTTGCTCTTTATTTTCCCCACAGGCAGAGGGATTTAGAAAAGATGTCCGCCCCTGTGTCTGAGGAATGATCTGACACGGACGGGAAAGGATCACTTCTGAGTGCTGTGGAACATCACAAAACCTCCTCCATCTTGGATAACACAAATTACTAATAGCGCCGGCCGGCGGCTCTCCCGAGTGTAGCTGAGACTGGAGTCAGAGAAGACTACCGGGGGCGGGAGTTTGCTTCAGAAAAAGCAGCCTTTCCCTTTCCAGTGACCTTAACTGGGTCCTCAGGGGGCCCATAATGATTTTTTTGGTAGAATATGATGGAATTCGAAACATCCAATTTTCCTTGGCACTTCAAAGACTCTTCGTGATAGATCATATATTCATTAGAAATGTGTTTTGATGTGCAAAAATGTCTTCTTGGAATTGATTCTCTCAAACCTAAATTGAAAGTTGTTACTGTAACATTGAATGAACACCCAAAAATGAATGAACACACACATTTTAAAATGAATAAACACCCACATTTACACTATTATATTTTACACAATATTGTATCTTATTTGTGTGTGTGTGTGTGTGTGTGTGTGTGTGTGTGTGTGTGTGTGTGTGTGTGTGTGTGTGAGTAAGAGAGAGAGAGAGAGTATCTTATTTGTGTGTGTGAGAGTTTGTGTGTGTGTGTGTGTGTGTGAGAGAGAGAGAGAGAGAGAGAGAGAGAGAGAGAGAGAGAGAGAGAGAGAGAGAGAGAGAGAGAGAGAGAGAGAGAGAGAGAGAGAGAAAGTATCTTATTTGTGTGTGTGTGTGTGTGTGTGTGTGTGTGTCTATATGTGTGTGTGTCTATATGTGTGTCTACATGTGTGTGTCTGCATTTCTGTGTGTGTGTGTGTGTGTGTGTGTGTGTGTACTGTTGTATTTTGTTTATTTTATTTATTGTCTGGTTTTTTACATTTGGACCCTGTGTCTGTAATAAAGTTTGCTGATGATGATTATTTTCCCTCATATTGTCTTCAGGTAATTTCTGGCTCATTTTCAATAAAGGTACATTTTAGGCCTATAAATTTTCTTCTATAAGACCACCACATGGCAACAAAAACCACTTTAGTACTTTCCTAAACACCTATAAACACCAAATTGGATTATTGAAACAAATGTGAAATGTCACATGGAAATGTATGTGAAATACACAATTTCTTTATTTGTGAACTACACGTGAATGGAAATGTGAAAGTGAAATGCCAAAAGTGATTGAAATCCGGTAACAATTTTTTACTGTAATTATCCCATCAACATTCAATTAATATATTTTTTTTATCATGATACACATTGGGACCTGGATTTAGTCCTAGATGAGGTCTCATAGAGGTTTTAGATCTGTAATCATTTTTATGGGTTTTTATTGCAGGTCAAATCTAACTCAAAGATCACAGGTGGGTGGGCACAGTCTTAGATCATAGGAAAGTTACAAGGTTTCCCGATATGGATATACACATAGACTAATTTTCAAGTTCGTCTGTTTTTCATAATTCTCCCAATCTTTTGGCTTTTTGTATTAAATTGTAAAAGAGAGGCAGAGAGGTATATATTTCTGTTTGTCAGTGAGTGGATTTACTGTAGCCTACTGTATTTTCACTATAGCCTCTGGCGAATGTCATAAAGCATACACTTATTGAATCACACCGACCCCTGCTGGGTAAAACTGTATGTGCATTGGGTAGCATTCTTCAGATAACCTGTTTTTTGGGAACGAGCACGTGTGTTGAATTTCATCATAGCCTACTGTTCCAGGCTCGGTTTTGTCCCAAACCTGTATGACTTTTGTTCTGTGGAAGACAAAATAATATATAAGACAGAAGAGTCTCAGTCACCATTCACTTTCATTGTTTGCTTTTTATTGTGAATGGTGACTGAGGCTGTCAGTTCCTAACACTATAACATATAGTGTTAGTTAGACATAACATCTAATTTTATGTTCTAGAGAAGAAGAAAAAAGGCCATACAGGTTGGGAACAACAAAATGATCTTAGTTTATTTTATTATTATTGTTTGTTTTATTTTTTCTTTATTTTATTTTACGAACTATTCGCACCCATCCACTAGGTGGTACAAACGTTTTTGCAGAAAATATAATTTCACCACAGAAGAAGCCAAGGATGAAAGAAGTGGCCTAACGTAAAAATTGGATTTCACAAAATTTTGTTTGTAACTTCACTTTAATATCACTGTTCAAGGAAATAGTTTTGTGTTGGGGGAATTAAAAGCGCAGATCGCTATTTCGTTAATCTATCGCTAATTCTTGCGGGCGAGGCGTTACAGTAGGTGCGTCGAAATTTTTATTACGTAGACGTGTATGAAATGTGTGATGCATCTAAATTGAATAATGTTTTCTGCACTGTATTAATCTCGCACGACTGTCTAAGAACATATTATGCGCTTAGCTCCCTATAAAACAACATTGTGTCTTATTTTAGTTTGCAGAGATGTCTGATTTGCTGACCGTGTACGACGATGACCAGGCCAACACCTTCATCGACTGCATGGTAAATCCGTCTTATTTTGACCATAGTGCTCACAAACAGATAGTAATGTTCATCCTGTTTATTATAACTTTATGTAAATGCATTGATGTGACTATTCTAGACAAATAATATTGATCATTTTCGTTCCTCAGATATGCGATAAAAGAATAAGGGGCGAAACTCATTACAAAATCCACGTGACTACACTGCAACATTTGAAGGTAAGGAGAGAAAATCCAGTGTAGTGTCTGAATGAATATCAAAAATTGACCACCAAATTTAGACAATTTAAAATGATTTCCGACGGATCACGTGACACCGAGGAAGCCTGGAATAATGGCTGCTGTTTTTCTCTGTATTTTTGAATGTAAAAATTTGTGTTTAGGCTATATAGCAGTAGTATTTCTGTTTTTTATGTAAGTATTATTAATGTTTTTAGTAGTTTTAGACTATAATACTTGATTGTTTGTCTTTTGTTTTATTCACTATTCTGCTTCATTCAACTTTAGGACTTCTAAGGAATAGAGATCAACCAGCAAACAACATTTTACCTGTTTATTTCCTTTGTCTCGGACACTGTATACAGGTTATGACCTTGTACATGGGTTATTCTGCATTGCTTTACCAGTCCCAAAAACTACTCAATCTTCTTTAAAGCATATTAGGATGAGTTGTGTGGACACGGGGCTATTTTGGAGTCTGTTCGAGGACATTTCTTTATCTTTACCAATAAGCAACAGTATGACCACAAAGACGTCAGAGACCCCAGCGTCCTCTTTCAAGGACACTTTTCTAGGTCCACTTCTGGTTCTTTTAAAAAGGATTCAAGTGTGAAAACATCCTGAGATACCAGTTGCCAGTTACATAACATTTTGAAGACCAAATACACTCTACCATTTTATATGTTTATCTTTCTGCTTTAACAAGGGTTTCGATCACGTGGATCTTCAGTCTCCTGAATGGATGGTGCTGCTTGAAACAATATATTCTTGTACACTTCTGTACGTTTGAGAAGGTTCAGAAGCACTATAACATTTGTTTATTTTTGTAGTCTGAGGGCATCCTCAAACTACTTCACTTCATCGGCACAAAATTGTGCTGTAGTTTGTCAGACGACAGCCAGTGCGGTTGTTGGTGGTGCAACAAGATGATGTGCTTCCTTTCAAGACTGATTAATGACCATTGGATGCATGTTGCATACTAAAATGGCAAGAGTTGTGAAAATCTGTGAGTTCCAGTCTGTTTGGCTGGCCACAATGCGAGAGTCAGACTGCACAGGTTGCAGTAAAGAATGTTCACAAGGAAGAACTTGTTGCATTATTTTTCCAAAGTTTGTGACATTCGTGACAAATTTTAATCTTTGAAAGTTACTCAAAGGTTTTGTATGAGGCATTTTGTAGCAAGTAAACAAGCAATCTTCGAGCACAAATATATTTTGTTTATGCCTGGGAAATAGGTAGTACTTACAACTTTTGGTCAAATGGAAATTCTGGCCATCAATTCTTCTTGCATAATTTCTTTTTTGTATGTTATAACTTCCACATGCTGTCACTGTCGGTTCATTGGGTTCTGGACAGAAAGGATTTTACCTACTGGATTGTAGGTTATCCAAAAATGTATTCTGTTATTTCACTTAGAAATTTCACTCTTTTTTTATAAATTAACACAAGTTCTACCTGAATAAATATTGCACTGAATCCTGCATAAATCCAAGGACACATTTTCATGTTTTTTTTCTAGTCTTTGACTTAAGTACATTCTCACTAGACTGTTCAGAACTTTGTTTTTACACTTTTGTGGCACATTACTCTTCAACTTTTATAAAATTCCTCATTATTTCATCTCATCAACAAGTGAAACCCAACCTTGTGGATTGCTTCTGGAAAATTTGGATTCCTTATTCCACACACATTATGATGTCCATACTTTTGGTTCTTCAACCTTTAACTTTTCTTCAGAGTGATGCACAATACTGGTCCCATGGAGCTCCTGGGGTTAAGTGCCTTAATCAAGAGCCCAATGATGAAAGAAGGTCTCCCCTTCTGGGGTTTGGACCATCAACTATCTCAACACTCTTTGTTGCTTTGTCATTATTAACTTCTGTTTACTTTATTTCAGTATTGCAAGTAACTCCTATGAAGTGATCATAAGTAAAACGTATAATCATCTGTCCCTGTTTTTCCTCCACTGTTTATCTCTTCAAAGAAAGAGGAGTCCTATGCTTCACAGGGTAAGTAGTAAAAATCACAACTTTGTGATACAATCTTTTTTTTTTCTTAAAGTTATCCCAATTGTGTTCAGTAAAAAAATATCACGTTTTGTTCAGACAGAGTTGGAATCAGTGTAATAAGATTATACTAAGGGTGTTTTCACACTTGGGAGGTTTGGTTCGATTATAACTAACTCTGTTAGTGCGGTTCATTTAAATAAGTGTGAACGCTGGCATCTGAACCCTGGTGCCACCAAACAGGCGGACCGTGAACCACATTTTCAGGTGCAGTTCAACTGAAATATGAACACAACATGGACCAAAGACATCTAAAAGATCCAAAAACTCAAGCATACCTGCTTCTTCTCGTCATAGTCCCGATGTTGTCCATTACAGTTCAGTACAGGCATTGGAACCGCGTCTCCTTGCAGCAGATCTTCGTTTATGTGTGTGACTGGAATTCTTTGTGCTGTTTTGACTCTTTTCCACATTTTCTAAGCTGTTTGTGCATTCTCAGCTGGTAAAAATACTCCCATAAACACACATACAACAAGTGCATTTAGTCCAGCACACAGCATTGTTTCAAATGTTCAGTAAGTCCTGTCACAAAATATACTGTATGTCATAAAAGCTCTCCAATCAGACCTTATACCTTTTGTTTTATAGCTTTAGGTTCAGTGTTAAAAATGACAGTGTGAACGCTAAGCGAACCAGGACTAAATGTATAATTTTCTTTTTTGGAGGCACCAGAAACTGAACTACAAGTGTGAACACACCCAAAGTGTCCCAGAATTGTATTTATTTGTAATTGATTTGAGGTTATATTGACATTTTAATGTGCTTAGAAGCACAATTCTGTATCCTATCAGGAAATTCAACCGAAATCTCAAGGAGATTGTAAGTATTCAAATTGTCAGGTATCATTCCATAGGTCAGGTAGGGTTTCCATTGAGGAAGATGTCCTTCTGCCATCAAAATATATGGTCGTCAAACTCGCAGGATTCACCACTGATGATAGGAATCATCACAAGAAAGAACTGTTTGGTTTTTTCTGAAGTAATATGAAGACCTAGCTGATATAGTTTTGTTGGCAGTCAGCTGTGGATTTGAAGATGAAGAAGAAACAGAAACTTGTTGGAATCACACAGAACCGGAATGCATACGTGGATTTTTATGGATGTAGTGAAACCATGAAATTTTCAAGAGACAGGAATAGAATAAGATGTGAATCTATTTCAGGAATGTAGCGGGGAAGTGGGTGACTTTTTTGGCTTTAGGTGTAAGGCATGAAGCGGAATTTGCGATGTATATCCTAGTGAAATGGCTTCTCGAATGAGGGAAAAAATTTAGGGCGGGACTTGAGTTTGTCTATCAGGAATTGATTGGACCGTTGTCGTTTGCTAATTGCAAACGTTTCATGCGAGTGACATGTTGCTGGAGGGGAAGGATTGAAACTCGTCTGGCTGTTGGACACCCTTATTGGCCAGCCTTCTCTTCTCTGACGACAAGTACATCAGTGCAATGTCACTGTGAGGGGGCCGTTTTTTATTTAAAGATTACAAATGCACATTTAAAAAAAATTATGTGCACAGATAAATCATTTTCAATAAACACTGCAACATTCAAAAAATGGTGACATAAGAACTACATCTGAACAATGAATTCATGGTTTGCCTCGTCGTTCATGCCATCCAGTAATTTTTTTCCCACCGTATTTATTTAAATGTGCAATGTGGGATGAATTTGTACTTTTCCCCACACCCCAAAATACAGTATACATGCTGGATTAGCACAATGCTTCCAGTGTGCTCAGCAGATTTTCTTACTTTTTTTATTTCACTTTCATAGTGTCCCCTTTTATATCTGTGATTACCAAAGGAGGCATTGAGGACTAGAGAAGCAAGTATGCCATACATATTATGTGTATGGACAGATTCCCAGGTGGATAAGTTTGGATTTCTACAGCATCTTTCAGACTGATCTCAATCCTGGGATACTGTTTTGCCATAGCGATGTGAGAAAGCTAGTACAACGGTTGTACCAGCTCATCACCTGTGCAAAACCTGTTTCTTGCAGTGCGCAAAGATGCTTTTCAGCATGACTTTGCTGTGAAGTTACTGGACTTTGATGTTGGAGGATGTTGCCCAAAGCTTCTTAGATTCTAGAGATCTGAGATACCATATGGATCCTTGAGTGGATGGCACAATTGAGTAATGCTTCAGCATTACTTAACAATTTGAGACCAGTTTGTCTTTCACCAAGTGATGTCGTTTATGATTGCTGAACATTAGACGGCCTCCCATGGATTTTCATGAAATGTGACGTTTCAGCAGAAATAAATGGAAATGTCCTTTAAATATTGGTAAGAAGGATAACAAGAACTTTTTCACCTGAACAGAGGCCTCGAGTCTAAATCAGCTTCTACTTAAACAGAAATGGTGTTCATGAAAATGAACTATCTTTTACTGTTTGATAGTAGGTCAATTGGAAACAATTTTGGAGGAATCTTCATCGAATTTCATTCAAATTTGTATTCCTCTGGTACAAACTGCTTATAAAAAGCATTATGCTTGAAAATGCACCTTTTTTGAACGCGGTGGTCATATTTCAGACATTTTGTGTTACTTAGAAGATTCTGCTGCTGTAGAAGAATTATATGAACTTTCAGACATAAGACTATGTTTTTTGTATATTTGTAACCTTTTGAAATGAACATGTTTTATGAGCTTATTCTGTTCTTATAGGAAAGATTCCGAGACAACCTCCACTGCCGGAATGGACAGATATCATAGAATATTTGAAATACCTGAAACTTGATGAGCCCATTATTGGTAAGATGACTTAATCACCAAAACTGGTTAGGATACCATTGAAATCATGATGATTAAAACAGTCTTAAAGGGATAGTTAACCCTATAATGAAAGTTTAGTCATCATTTACTCACCTCATGTCTTTACAAATCTGTATGGTTTTCTTTATTTTGTAGAACACGAAAAAAGATATTTGGGAAAATGTTTTGGAACTGTTTTCGCCCATACAATGGCAGTCAATGGGGTCCAAAATAACACTGGAATTTGGTCCCCATTGACTTTCATTATATGGCCAAAACCAAATACAGAGACGTTTTTCTAAATATCTTCTTTTATGTTCCGCAGAAGAAAACTAATCATGAAATGGCATGAGGTGAGAGAAATGTTCATTATTGGGTGAACTATTCATTATTTCACAATTGAATAATTTCTTTGTTCAGGTCTCGGCTCCCTGAGACAGATCCCAGATCATGTCACTGACGATGGCAAAGGCGTGTTAAAATACAAGTGCCGATTGTGTGCCGTTGATATGGACCTTTTTAGTATGGTGGCCCACGTCGTTGGACGCAAGCACCGGCAAAAATACTTGGTATGGTGGCATTTTTCCTCCTTTTACTTTTACTTTTATTCTGTTCAGAGTAAAATAAAGTGGTTACATTAGATCTGTCTTACCAGGAACTGAAAAGGCCAGACTTGGTGACATGGCATGACAGCGCACAGAAACAACCAGGTCTCGTTGCCAGAGCAAAAGCTGCAGTGGTCGAAAAGCAGGAGGGATGGGGAACGCCAGTGGTATTAACATCTTAGTTACTTATAAAATTAATTATTTTTAATAGTTTTATATTAAACATCTAGAAATATGATTTACTATTCAGCTGTAATTTCATTTCAGGCACTCAGAAGAGACGTATTTCCAAATTTCCAAGGTAAAATTTTGACTTTTTAAACTTTTTCATACAGAATTCCAGTTTGTGTAAAATTGTAAACACAATTTTGTACCTTACAGGAAGAGATTTACCTCCCAGTGTTCATGAACAACCCTACTATGGACGAGACTCTAGCAGGGAGTCACCTTTGGCAGAAGATAAGATTCATAAACAGGCGTACTTAGAAGAACAGGGAAGACCATATTATATTGACGAAAATTATGACCATTATGATAGACCTAATCCAGATGATGCAGTCCACCAGCAATCCTATCCAGAAGGAAACCGACATCAACAACCATATGAAGAAGCCGACATTCGAGGAAGAGGCTTACGAGGGGATAATTATCCTGAAAGAGCTGAAAGAGAAATGCATACTAGGCCCTATGCAGACCAGGGTGCAAGGAGACTTCGAGAAGACTATGAAGACGTTCTTGGCCAAGGACAGTTCTCAAGAGGTGATAGACTTGTGTCTATAGATGTCCAAGAGAAAGTTTATAATGAAGGCATGCCAAGAAACCGATTTAATGACAAAGACCTCCGAATCCAGCGCCCTGGAGAATCTGAATATCAGGCTGAGCAAATGGAATATAGAAGATACGCAACTTATGAAGAGGAAAAGCCTGCCACGAATCCCATGCCAATGCATGGAAAAAGCTTTCATGACGAGGAGAGAAGAGGGACTGTCAGAGAATTGCCCAGAGGGCCTTGGGACAAAGCTAATGAGATGCAAGGTTATCCCCACATGCTTGAGCCCAGAGATCCAAGAGCATATTCCCAGGAAGCTGTTCCCGCTAAAAAGAAAAAGAAGAGCAGATTCTCTGATGCAACCACAGAGGAAATAGCACTCGCACATATGAGGTGGCTTGTTGGATCATTTCATAGTCACATTCAGAAAATCATAAACTTTGTTGCACAATGTTATGAAATTTGATGCAATTATTAGTATTTTTACACCCATTTGCATTAGTCTGTTGTCTTTAATTGTATTTTGTTTTGTCTTTTACAATTCTCATTTTAGACATTCAAAAAAAAACATCCAAAAAGAGAAGTCAAGAGGAGCACAGATCAGAGCAAAACATCCACCTCCGGTAAAACTGCAAAGCCACTAAACCCTTGGGTTTACACACAAAAACAAGTATATTGAGAATTTAAGATAACTTGTTTTAAATGTGTTGTATAGGTATTTTTTACTTGACTCATTAAGTGCGTTTACATGCAGTTTGATTTCATTTAGCCTAAAGCAATAACTTTGTTTAGTTAAAATATGTATACATGTATGTATACAACAGTCTGTTTCTGTGAAGTCCGACTAATGGTGTGGTAATATTTAGTGTTATTCAGTGAATTTTCACGGTCGAATTGGAGTCCATGTGATTGGGAATTTTGCCTAAGTGTGAAAAAAAAATTCCCCACACAGATTTTGCAACGGGTTCACGTAAATTTGTCAAGTTGACCAACAGAAATATGCTCTGTTTGAAAGGGACTTCTGTGTGAACTGCGCTTCATACACCACTACACTATTGATAGCCAATGGGTCTTTTTTGTTAGTGAAATTTCGCTATTTTGCACCTTGACAGAAATAGATTGTGATTTGTAGCTTGTGCTTGTCCAGCATGTACTGTATACATATTAACCAGACTACAATTGGCTTTAACTGTCTTTGTACATGCAAACGTATTTAATATTTCAAATATTCAACCAAGCATTTTGTCATACTGTATATCCTTTGACAGACTGTAGCTTGACTACGCAAAAACTCGCTATAACTGTGTATGTAATTGTACTTGGTGTTCGTTGGAATTCTCATGTTGTTGTTTTTTGTATTCCTCTCTATACAGTCATTCAATAACCAATTTGTGGACCCTGGAAGTGTATCCCATCTTGATCCAAAACATGAAAACGTTCTGGACATACTTGTGAGTGCAGAATATTTGACCAACATGAAAAAAAATAATTTACTAGATAGACTGGAGTTTTCATTTGAACATATTCTTTTTAAATTACAGAGTGACATCCAGATCGAAAATATGGATGACGCCAGATTTCTTAAAGAAAAGTTGTGCACAGTTTTGAAAGAGTTCCAAGCAAAAAAATCCGGAACCGCTGGGGTAAGCACAGTGTTATCTTTTAAGAATCATTCTCATTTAATTTGGTCTAAATAATTATCTTTTTGTTGTCTTTCATCTAAAGGGCCCATCTTCACAATCTGTCGGTGATCACAGAGGGGTAAAGCAGACGGAGCAACGCAGAGATGCATATAAAGACCCAAGGGATGATCCAGATGGCATGTATTCAGAAAACAGGGGTTTCCAAGAGATCAGACGATATGAAAACGATCCCAGAAGTTTCCAGGAATCCAGACAATATGGAGATGACCCTAGAGATTTCCGAGAGGTCCGACAAAGTGAGGATGACCCCAGAGCTCATAGAGAGACCAGACATTATGAAGATGATTACAAGGAGCCAAACCGATTTGACGGTTATCCCAGTGGTCTTCAAGAAGCAAGGCCGTACGCTGATGATCCCAGAGGATTTCAAAAGTCAAGGTTACAAGAGAAACCTAAAGGTCTTCCAGAGAGGAGACAATATGATGATGATCCTAGAGAACAGGAACAACGTTACGAAGAATATTCAAGAACTTCCAGAGAAGAAGCTCCAAGAAGAACTCAAGAGACAAGATATTATGAAGACGATTTCAGAGGCTTCGGAAATGTGGATTCTGAAAGAAGACGTTCATTTGAGCATTTTGAGGGCAGAGGCCCTGCAGGTGTTGAGAGAGGTTTTCAAGGTAAACTAACACCCAGATATCATAGGGCAAACTAGTCTTCCTGTGGAGCAGATGATAATATTACAGTATTTCAAAGTGTTTCTAAGAATTTCTAACCATTTTTCCCCCCCACTTTTTGAACTAGTATAATTTTTTTGCTGTTGCTTCATTCGTCATGATCTCCTGATTGATTCTTCCTGATTATCCTGTTTTCAGAGAGCTTTGGAAAGCCTCCTGGTAACTTCCCACCAAGTTCTCATCAAGAAGAAGGAAGGATGCATGTCGGGAGAGCACAGCACAGGTCCCATCAGAATGACAGTCAAGCTGGCGATGAACCGTACGACCCGTTCCAGCCATCAGCCTCACCACCTCCAGAAGCGAGCACCTCCACCAGTCTTGACAAGATTGCCTCAACTCTTCTGGAGCTTGTGGCTCGTAGATAGAGTTAAGCTGATGAGTCGGATACTTCATGATGTGATATGGTTTTAGCTTAACAATAGCCTACAGTGATCGATCTTCCAGTAAATACTGTTATACTGTTTTCTGCTATTTTTCAACTACTTTTCAGTTTGTCTTGTTAAGATTTGTAGCCTAGTTTATATTGTCTTTTTAGTTTGGTTTGTCTATTGTGAAATTGTAATGGGTTTAGTTGAAATGGTTTGATTAGAAAGTTGTTGATTTAAAAAAAAAAAATAAACAGTTCAACCCAGTCTTTTTGAATTTTTTTTTAATCAGTATTTTATTTTATTAAATAAACATTGGTTGTCTATGATATAACAATGGTTTTAGTGCCATCATTTCAAACAGTGCTGAAGTGCCAAAATTTGTAAATTAAGGTCACATTCACATTTTTGTGAATTATTTCTTCAGACATAAGTCTTTCTTTTTTTTTTTGTGAACCTTAAATACAAAACTGGATTCAGTTATAGGCCTATTGATTTATAACGGGATCGTTTTTTAACTGTTAACTTTGTTCTTAGTACAAGGGTATTTTCCCCCATAAATATTACATTTGATATACGTGATATGTAACGTTACTACACACACATGTACACGTTCTTTTCTGTTTCAAAATAATGAAATAGAGAAGAAGCTCTTTTTCTTTTGATTACACGGAGACAATCAGAGGAGAAATGCTGGCAATTAAATGGACAGCAGCTATAAAAGTTATATCCGAAGCAAACGCATTCATCGTGGGATGTGCAGGCCAGCTCAACCTCTCGCTGACGCTGAACAACCATAGACAGTAAAAGAACAACTGAGGATCATTCACATTCAATGGCGCCAACGGCGAGTACGTCACAGCAAACGTAGCACTTCTTCCGGTTTAAAAAAAAAAGTTGTCAAATCGTCGGCCATCTTGGTTGCTGTAAGAGCCTGAAATAAATTAAATATTACGACGAACCGGACTACACTACGATTTCATCGCCTAAAGTGAGTATAAAAATTAAACACTTTGCTGCGTTACTGTTCGCTTGCTATCTACCGCTCAGTTTCGATAAAGCGGGTGTCGTTTTGAGCTCGTGGTCCAATAAAAGTTTTCATCCAATGGACGATTGTTTTGGAGGATGAACATAGGCGCCATTTCCCTCCTCGCTCTCTGAAGCGCTTATTGGTGGCTAGTGGAAGGGAATGGAGGCGGTCAGGAAACTGTTGGACATTAGTCGCCATTTTGGCTCTCTAGTGTAAATGACTTCTATTGGCTCACTGGTTCATTTTGAGCCTAAATGGTGGCAGTTTCTTAACTACCAGAACCCCTAGAAACCTTGATTGGTGGAATCTAGTCCGAGGTTTGATTGGTCTGAAGGACAGATCCAAACGTAGTCTTTATTGGTTAGACTGTCTTTACACCGCTTTACAAATATTTTAGGAAAACTCGCTCAAAGCCTTCGAAAAACATAATTATTTCACTTCTCCTAATTTGACGAGAGTCACAGTCGATGCGGCCTGCTAACGTAGCGAGCAATGTCTCCTACATTTATGCCGCTCTTAATAATCATTATCTGTCCATACAATCTTGTCGACTAACGTTAGATATTTGGAGATGTAAATTATCCCCACAATAAAAAATAAATCTGTCTCTATGGGTTTCATCCATAAGAATGTTATACACACATAACGTTATACTGATTGTTAGTATGGTTTCGTTTAGCATGTCTCCCGGTAACGTTAGCCTGCAAATGCTTTGTCGACTTCATTAACGGAATTTACAACTGTTATTGTGGCCATGTACTGCATATTTCTATTTATCAGATGTGAAGGAAATGTAATTTTCTGTGTAACGTTATGATTCATTCGGGATGGAATTTATTCCGTGTATTTTCATTTTGTACAATGTGCCTCTCGTGTCATCGTATAGTGCAGATATTAAACGTTACGCTTCTAATTGTTTTTCTACTGAATGAGAATAGAAAGATAAAGTAAAATACGAACGCATTAATTATGATATTTAGCAATGGCTGTAATTTAAGACGTAACTGACATGTTTTTAATGTACCAGGTTAAATGGAGGTCAATTTCTGGCTGGCACATGAACTCACTATTTACATTACAAGTGACTCACCTTTGAGGCAAAATTATTCCTTATTGACCTTGATTTTACAACTGTTGCCATAATCTTTCAGCACTGTTGCTGTAAATAATTTACCTGCCTTCTAGATGCATTTCAACAACAACAATGTATAGGAAGGATTGTGCTGCTGCAGTTTGAGTTGCTGCATTGTCTTTCATCTATACAATGTGAAGTTTTGCCCACATTCTGATTTTCATCTCTCACATAATTAAAAGAGGCAAGACTATGGTGAATTGGAGGTTGTGTAGGCCGGTTTGCACGTGCGGGCATGACGTTTCTGGAAATAAAGAGAATCAAGTGATGCTGTACAATGCAAAAGAGCAGCAAGTTAAGGTGCGGTCACATTAGTAAAATTATTAAAAGTGTTGCGATGTGTGAAGCACAGCCTACAAAACTTTCAAACCAAGCAGCTTTCTGTCGGTCAAAGTGGTGAATTCATATGACCAATATTTAAATTTGAATCCACAGACGATGTGACATTCAATATTGTGTGGATTCATATTGAAATGACTGTTTCACACGCTGAAAAACACGGTAAATGTGACTGACCATTGTCTTGTTGTTCTTTACCATTAGTCTTGTTTTTGAAGGAATAACCAAAAGAAAAATGACCAAATAAGTTATTGTAATAGCATGATAGTTGCATAGCTTGCATCATTTTTGGTCACATATACATAACCATATAACATGACCCTTCAGGTCAACTTTATATTTATTTATGACGCGACTAACGTCGAGTTTAGGTTGAATGTGCTGCACTGCATGCATGTCCCTGCACTCAAATGAGCCTGCAAGTCTGACCTGAGTGACTTTCCACTTTAAATCATGCGGCTATAGCATGCGGCATCCTCTTTGAGATCGCATTGGGCCAATCACTGTTCGTGGGCTCATTTGCATCATCGCACGCCCAGCCACTGCGCTCCTCCGAGGGGCGGGCGTTAGAGACATTTAGTTTGACATTGTAAATAAGCAAGGGACAGTTGTTTGAGAAGTCAGTTGTTCAGTCCGGCTCAGTCCAGCCACAGTAGAGAAGACGATCTGCAGGGGACAGATTTTCCGAGGCTCACTAATCGAGGCGATCATCCACTCTCCCCGCGTCCTTTATTCAACTTTCTGCTGCTTTTGTCTGGTGGTTTTTTTTCTCTCTCGTTCTTTTCGTTCCCTGACCCCTATCCTGCTGCTCAAGGTAACTTAAAACAGGAAGTTGAGTGTCTGTGAAAGTGGGCGGAGTTGAGAGGGTCAGCAGGGAGGAGGGGAATGACAGATGTTTCGGCCAATAGCGGCAGAGACCGACTCGGGCTCATTTGAAGAATCCACCAAGGGGGTGGGGATCGTAGAGATAGGCGGGCTGAGAGTATCGTTTAGCAAGCTAGATTGATTACACTCGAGTGTTAAAGGGAAAGCAGTCAGGAGATTTTTGTTCCGACTTGTTCTACAGCTCTGCATTGCTCTCACACTTTTGTTTCTTTTCATCCTTCCCTTTTTTTCCACCTCTCCCTCACTTTTTCGCCTGTTTTTCCGGTCACTCGCAGAGCCAGGGGTCAGCTGAAAGACAAACAGTACTAGGGTTGCCAGGCAGAGGCCAACTCCAGGCTCCAGGCGGCTTCACGGGACTCGGACAGGGGAGGAATGGGAGGGGGTTGTGTGTTTAGGAAAGGGGGGAGGGGGGTGGCTGAAGAAGATGGGCTAGTTGAAGGGGGAGGGTTCGGAAGGGGGGGGGGGGGCGTTAGGTGATCGCGCTCCCCTCAGCTCGGGGCTTTGAACACAGCGGTGGATCGCCCTATCCCACACAGCCTTTTGTCTCCTCTTGGGACAGAGCCTGTGGAATAAAGACACTTATGGAGACTTTCGAGATGTCCTCCTCCGGCACAGCATATGAAGGGCATGGGGTAAGCATGACTTGCTACTGCAATCAGACAGTAAAGCTCTCTCCCTCACTCTCTCTCTCTCTCTCTCTCGCTGCAGTAATGGGATGCTTCCTCTGTCCTCCGCTGCGCTTTTCTCCTCCTCCTTTCGTCCTCTACTTTTCCCCTTGCTTGAAATCTGAGTGTACTTCTTTGTGTTTTCTCTCTTGTTCAAGTCCTTAACCTGACTACTAATGTTTGACATGATGTAAACAATAACTAGCTGGTAATTTCACTGGTTTTGCAAACGTAATTTTAACTTTCCAGCGTTGAACTGCACGCCGTACTTTTTGATCGCAGTTGACCTCTAAGTTCATCTTGTTCAGGTTTACTTCAGACTTCTTGAAAGTCCTGTGCTGTCGAGTATCTCCGCTACATATGTGATGCTTAAAGATACAGATAGAGATGATGGTCATGGCTGCATAGGACCGCTAGTCCCGGTTCACCTTTCAAGGCCCAGTTTCGTGGCTTGTTTACACTCCTATGACAGTGAGAAAGAGCAGAAGACAGTATTGATGTGGTCTCTACGTGACCAGCATGGATGGATTGGGGTTTATGTGGGGACTCTTCGCCCCCTTAGTTCATAATGTACAGATGGTTGTCCTCACATGATACCTTGTCACAGAATTGAGTCGGATTAAAGTCTCTTACCCGCTTGTGTACTTGAAAGTTTCCATTAGTGATGGTATTATGGTCCTTTTGGGGAGAGTAGTTACTAAAAATAACTCTAGGTAGAGCCTTGACTGCTGTGTCACAGCATGATGTGTTCGGTTAAGATTTGATCATTTTAGCTCCTTACTGCAGCAGATTGCATAAATGTTCAAGGGTAAAATGTAACCCCTGACTAACGTTTTGCACATTCCCTCTCGTTCCCGGAGCTTTGCACTTTAGGTTGTTTTGAAATGTCAGCGCAGAACCTTTAAAGTTTACAGTTGGGTTTCTGGTGCTGGCGTCGGCACGTCGACGCACCTTGCCGTTGCGGGCCCATCGGCGGATGAAGGTCACGGGAATGTGAGAGCGGCTCCCGCATTCGATCTGTCAGCAGAGAGAGTGTGAGACCAAGAGGACAGTGCATCCCTCAGGGGCGCACAGACAAGAGGGGGCCATTCACCATCACGCTTCTCTAGGGACGCCATCATTGCACACACTAGGGTCGCCAAGTTGCTGCAGTGAAAGTTGAAAAACCAGTCTCCGTTCTCTTTCTCTCTGTGCCATAGAATATCCCTCACTCTTTCCCTCCCCCATACTGTGTTTTTCCCCCCTTTTTGCTTACTGCCAAATGACCTTGAGAGTTCAGGGACGGCTTCCTGGAGTCGACGCGAGGCCGAACCAAGGGCAACTTTGGAATGATTGATCCGTGAGATCAGAGTTGCGTTATTGTCCAGCCCCTATGTTTTTTGCCCCGAACAAGCACAGCTATTTGTCGGTTAATTTGTAATTTATTGCTGGGTGCATTTTGTTGTGTCCGAGTCGATGATTAACCAGTAACCGCAGCAGGCTTTGTGGGTTTTTTTATTATATATATATATACACCAGCTGGCCTTTCTGAGTGAATGTTTGTGTAGTTAATAAAACCTTTAGAAATGTGACCTTTCTGTATGACAGAATGATCATAGAAAACATATTGTCTGTGTGCTGTCATTTTAGTTAATGAGGCTGGTTTAGGTTCAGGAACTAAACAAGTACTGCATAGTAAAAAGAGTTGTCAGTAAGTACGTTTACATGTTATATATGCAGGTTTTTTTTTTTTTTTGCATAGTTGAGCAAAGCCTATTAGTAAACCTAACAAAAGGCGTAATGCATTTTAAACAATGCTGTCAATAAGTTATACATGTGCAGTCATAAGCAGGTTTTTTTACATAGCTGTGCTTGGCTTATACATGACACTGTGATTGATGATTTTTAATAAGAATTAAATCCACATCACAGTAGTCCGAATAATACATGCTGGGAAATGCCACTAGGGAATATTATTTTTACTTAGAAAGTTCTCTAATGGATGTTTTCAAAAACGTTTCACCAATTATCTGATTTTTTTTATCAAATATTGAAATGAAAAATCTTATATAAAATGAGGTTGGTTGTCAGTTGTTGTTTTTCATTACTTCTACATACTACTGTATGTTACTGCTATTTGTTTCTTTTAAAATACATTGATCTTGCCATGAAAATAGCCATAGATGCTGGTATGGCAATAAAAACAAAAACACATACATGCTGGGCGAAATCCAGACATAGTCGCATTATTGGTCGGAAATCTGACTGAAACTAGTTTAATGTTCATTTAAAGCTCTGAACTGTCATTCTAACATTTCTCTTCATATTTCTCTTTCCATTATTTTCTTCACCTCTTCATGAGGGTTTTTTATGTTATTTTTTGCCCTCTGGAATGCTCCGATATCAGATAAGATTGTATTTTTTCTGTGGGCATGCATTGTTTGGTATGCATTTCTTCTTGGTTTTCTTAAACCATCTAGGGGAGGCATGCTTCAGATGAGGAATGTGAGCAAAAAATCAGATGAAAAATTCTTCTCGGTTCACGGGTTAAGTTTGATTTGGGCTTGTCAAACAAAAAAGCAGACTTTAAAATAAAATCTATTGTTTTGTAGCTTATTAAGTCCTGGCTGTTAAAATTAGGCTCACTCTATAGGTGAGCTTCAATGTCTGAAGTTATCTTAGATCTCAAGTCAACACAGCGACTGGCATCCACAACCCTAGTATTGTCTTCTCCGCATAGCTGATCTGAATCTTTCCAGCACGAGGAAGAGATTGTTCTACATTTTTATCTGCCGCTTAAGATGCATCCCAAACTATAGTATAAAAGGTAATTGTCCTGCCAGTGGTAACTGTATGTGAAGTTATTCTGTTGTGTTTGTCACTGGACTTTCTCCACTTATGACTCTCCTTCTTGGAGGCCTCTGGCCACACTTTCTCCAACCTTTAAAAATCTCCCGCACAACCAGCTTAACTCATCCTCTCATCAAGGGGGTTATTTGTGAAATCTCAATTCTTTGAGAACCGCTAATCCTTGATCACGTTGAAATGTTTGAGCGTTCCTTTGCTGCAGTCCTTCTGCACGACGAAAGCCAGGCTGGCAGTGATGTTCTTGCTGATTCAGCCTCTGTTAGTGGCATTGACTTTCTGAGACACAAAGCACCAGCGGTCATTGCCGTCGAGGCAACCGAACAGATCAGGAGAAATCCAACACCACCGCTGCGTTCTGACTTGCTGAAGGACGATCGTGACTAAGAGTTGCACTGAGCTTAACCTGGCTTTTTGTTTTCGCCTACAAGTCTGAAGTTAGAATGAATTATATTGTGATGTTGTTCCATTAAGGTTGCATGTCAATGACATGACATTTATTTATTTTATTTGTATCTTTAATACATTTAAAAATACATTAAAAACAATTCATATAGCCTATACAATTATTTGAATACACTTCTATGATAAGCATGTTTTTAATTTCTGAATGAAAATTGTCAAAAATGTCAAGGTGATACAAGTAATTGAAAAAACTCTACAAATTAAAACCTTACTAAGTTTAACAATGGCTTCACTGTATCCAGCTTGTTAATATTTTAAAACCTGAAAGGTCCTAACACTTAAAAAAAATCTGTTTCTTTTTTTATGGACAGTTATTTGCCATTCACCCAAGTCAATGGTAATAGCCCCTTTTGTACTATTATTTTGCTTTAACGCAATACAAAACATTCTAAGCACAAAAGAACAATTTTTCTACCCACAATGCTAAGTCAGAGGTTTCGCTCTTCCCATCTCAGGTTGTGTCTCTCTATCTGGTTGAAAGAGTCAAAAATAGCTCCCACTCAAGCAGCTGGTCGAGGCGAGCTTTGATTTAACCTATTTATGTCTCCTTTAATGGAGTGTTATCTCATTTAATTTGCCTCACAATTTCCCTGGTCCGTGACAGTAATTGCCGCTGTTATCGCCTGCTTATTAGCCAGCTAGTTTTCTTAATGGTCTTACTTGAGAAGTTAAATTATCATTTGTTATCAGTCCGCCGCTGGAACATCAACACTCGCAGATGTACAGCAGAAGACCATCACAAGATCGACACCTGATGCAGTTGCTTCCCAGCCGCACAGCGGCCGCTTGTGATTTTTCTAGTTATATGTATGCTTAATAAATTTGATTGACAGTTGATGGCATCAGTCAAGCCTGAAATGAGTCTGGCGCTTATTGACAGTGGAGTCACATGACTCATTGATTTGTATTGTGCTTGTCTAATGCCACTGAAATAAAGACTCAAATAAAGACTGTGACACTAAACATGATTTTTTTTGCGATCACATGGTGATTATAACCATCCTAATGCTTCGATATACATAAGAGGAAGAAGAAATAAAAGCAGGTCGCCGCTTATCGCCAGTGATCACGCACGTTTCACTGTGTTGCTCCTCCGTTTGACCTACATAGTGAGGCTGCTCAGCAGTCCGACTGCTCCCCCTCCATTAAGCCCTTGGCAGTTTGTCTTGTTATTGGATTATGGCTGAACTGCACAAGTCCAAGTACTTTTTTACTGCCTCGCTCCTGCTCCTATGGCACCCCACCCTGCTATTTCAGGCCCTGTGTTTTCTTCCAGAGAAAGAGAGAGATCCTTTGTAGCGTCCGTGGCAGCGCAAGCTCAGGCAGGCTGCCTGCAGAATTCCTCACATGCCATAGTAACCTGCCAGCTTTGCTCCTCTTGCATTTTTGGTTTGTGTTAGTTTGTGTTTGGATTGTCTCCGTTGCGTCAGTGCCGAGCAGTTCTGTCAGATCGACACATTTGGTCCGGCTCCAAAGCTATTTGGGTATCCAGATGTGCACTCCAGGCTTCAGGTCACTGGCATGGAGGAGGACTTTGTTCTCCAGGTTTTTCACATATGGATTCCTGGCGTAGTTTACACACGCCTGAGTTGACCAATCACCCCATCATCAAATGCACCAGGCATTTTACTGTAGTGACGCACGGGCTATCACACAAATTATTCGGACTTCTTCGACTCCAACTAAACAGTGTATAATGTGGTTTATTATCTCAAAGCTCAAAAAGAGTAGGTCAATTACGAGGCTTGTATGTGAACATTAACCCTGACTTTTATCTCCCTTTTTATCTCCTCTCCTAGCAGATCTGGAGATGTCGGCAGACTCATTTGGAGCAGGCGGCAGCGATGCCCAGCAGAGCCTACAGACCTTTTGGCCCAGAGTGATGGAAGAGATCAGGAATCTTACCGTGGTATGGGTTTCTCCTAGCTTTTTTTTAATCTGTTTTATTCTCACTCGGATACAGTATAAACACTGCTTTTTCCAACAACAACAAAAAGTCTTTATTGGAAAATGACAAGTTAGCCAACTATGTAGTACCTCAACAAGAGTCTACCTCTGTTTATTAATAGGAATTATTAATGTTATTCCGAGTTCTCCTCTAACGCATTCTCGCACTGTTTCAGAAGGATTTCCGTGTGCAAGAGCTTCCTCTTGCTCGCATCAAGAAAATTATGAAACTGGATGAGGATGTGAAGGTAAGAGCAGGCGAGCTGAATCAACACTAAGCTAAGTCTAAGCTGATGTCAGCACACTTCCTGTCTTTCATTCTTGAGAAAGCAGCAGCCCAGCGTTTGTCGGCTGTACATCAAGTGGCCAGTTGTGTCAGTAATTAGTGGAGTTTGCTATGGCAAGCTTTACTATTACTCGGAATTAGAGTTTGAGGTTTGTTCAAATTCTTGGCCGTAAGTATTGATGTTCTGCATGTTTTGCACTCTTTGTTTTACAGACATGAATGATACATCAAATCATGTAGCTTGAGGAGAGGTTTATTGTGTCTTTAAGTAGGGGTTGCACAGACTAGTCGACTTTAATGCTTTAAGCTTGATGTTGACTAGTTGCTGGTCATGGCCTATAGAGGACGAATAAGAATAAGAAATCTTTTACGCTCCGTTTCCAAACAGTTAAAGTGACAAATAAATGCATACTCCGAGAGTGCTCCACATGAAATGTTTAATTATAGCATCTAGATGCTCAAAATTGGGTGAGTTTTAAACCGCTTATTGTACACAAGTTAATCGCCGTTCTAAACTAATGCGTGCTGCATTGTAACGCACACACAGCTCGCACATCGCGTGCACACAGAATCATTCAGTAGCGCATAAATGTATTGTCAACACACTGTTCTGTGATTTTATCAGGAAAATAGCTTAGAAACTGAAAGGTTCTAGCATATATTTCTTAGTAACTAAAACCCATAACTTCACACTGTTAGTAGAGACTAGAGAGATGCTGCCAAGAAGAATTAATTCACACGCAATCGCTCTCTCACTAATGCATTCCTATAAATGTAATCCTTACGGTGCTACTTTATCTCTATCTGATTCAGAACAAGCTGAAATCTGTGAGAAATATAACGACCCAAAGACAAAAGAACTGAAAACATAAGCTGCTATGTAGGATCCATAGCCTTGTGTGCAGCCATATGTCATATCTGTGACAAGAAAACCTGCAGTCGCGTCTCAGCTCGAGGGCGATTCAGGCTTATTTGTTCATAAATTATGTCATCAGCAACTAGTCGACGTCAACTCGACTTTCATCACATAAATGTCGACTTTAAAAAATCTGAAGTCGTTCAACCCCTGGTCTTAAGCGATCTAACTTGCCTGCCAAAATAAGACAGCCAAAATAATTTTAACTTCCCAGAGACTTTGATGGAGAGCTCCATTTCTAGGAACCCTTTGGGGTAGTTATAGAAATAAATATGAAATAGTTTTGGAGGGTCGTATTCATTGACGGAAACGGTTATAATTGCATGGCATCAGTAATATAATATAATTCAATATAATTGCATGGCATCAGTACCGTCGAAAGAGCGAGGTCATGTGGTGATGTGAGCCAAGTATTAAGTGGTTGTAAGACACACTCATGCCCTTTTAGTTCAGTTTCATAGAGCGAGAGACATAACGATTAGACATAAAGGTTGGTGTATTTGCTCAATAGTTTAACCCTCAATATATGTAATTAGCTGGTTTAACCTTAAAGAAGACAGACATCTCTGTTTCTTTCTCAGTTGTTCAGTACAAAGATATTGTGAGTGATGTTGGTGAGGCCACAGGACATGATCTTCCCACATAGCCTTAGCCGCGTGGGAAGCAGGCATCAGGTCAGGGTGATGTCCAGATGCTTAAAATAACCTGCAGCTTAGAGTGGGAAGAAAGGAAAGCCAAGGCAATTAAGAGCTCAGGAGCAGTGACATGGACCAGACCCTGGGTCAAGTCTTGACGTAGCCTCTTTGGCCATGGTGTGTCCACCTGTCTGAGGCCAGGCCGAAACATGGAGGGCACGGGTGTAATGAGTGCCTGGATAGGATTGTATGTGTCGTTCTTTTAATCTCTATTGATTTGCTTTGGTAACCTTCCGTAGATGATCAGTGCTGAGGCACCGGTGCTGTTTGCCAAAGCGGCACAGATCTTCATCACAGAGCTCACTCTCAGAGCCTGGATCCACACTGAGGACAACAAACGGCGTACACTACAGGTCAGTCATGTCAGATGAGATAAAGCAGTCTCCTCTAAGACACAAATGATCTTTTTTGTTTTTTGGAAACGATGGAGAAAAGATTGTGGGTGGGATCATGAAATGACCCTGAGCTTGCTTCGAACGGGTCACCTCTGCTAAAGTGCAACTCTGTATTTCAGAGCACTCTCGCTAACCCATGTTTCCAATGACCGTTATCTATAGTTGTTCAATTTCAATTTAAGGAGGACCTATAAGCCTTTTTTACATTTTTAACTTCCTTTAGTGTGTAATTTAACTGTTTTCTGCGAAGTTACAAAGCACAAAGTCACTCCAAAGATTCTTTATAGCAGTGCGCACTGTTTCTGAACTCTCTGAAACTTACAAACAAGGCCTGATTGATTAAAACTAGCTCTGGTTATTTCCTGATCCCACCCGCCATTTCCCCCTATTGTTTCCTGTCTCCTTCACCATCTCTGTCCGAAAAAAAAATTAAAATCTTATTTTCAGTGAATCTGATGGTAAAGAGTCAGTGACATTTGTCAATCACTTTTCGGATGTTTTCTTTAAATTGAGTTAAATGTCAGTACTTGCAGTCATTAGAATGCATAAATAAATATATGAAGTGTAATGTTAGGATGTGCTCACATTTACTGTTGTTCATTGAATTTTCAATGTCATTTCAATAGTGATCTGTGCCATCATGTGAGGGCAAAACATTTCCCCACTCAGATTTCGCTTGTTCAATTTGTTCAGGCAAATTCTCTGAAAGCTGCTTGGTGTTTAAGTGAGTTCTGTTTGAGCTGGGCTTTATACATCGCTACACTATTGACAATTTTTTTTTTGACCTGTGAAATTTCGCTAATGCGATCGCACCTATAGCCAGCTCCTAGTATTTTCTTCACGTAAATAAGTCCAAACCATTACGGCAAAGAAAAAAAAAGTTCCTCCTAATACTGCATGTGCTGGAGCCGTGACACAGCTTGTCCGTTTATGGGAAGAGCCCCCCACACAAGCACCCCAGGGCTTATCTCTGTTCCACTGTAGCGAGTCTAAAAGTACATCTCCCATGACCCACTTACTTTTTATTAACTCATTTTGCCTTCCTTGGCTTTTAAACAGTGTCCTGTTGAACCCTTGGTTGGGTTGATAATAATAATAACATCTATAAACCCAAATAAGTTCAAATGTGAAATCAACAGATTCAAGTTAGCTATTAAACAGAATATGTTACACAGGAAGTAAACATGAATGTGAATGGAATAATTTCCATGGAAACAATTGAATAAAGTTAATAGTCTGCAATATAGCTACCCGTGTCAACATGGCCTTTTTCCGACGTGGTGTTCGGCAACAGGTTTTGTCACTGAACAAAGCTGTAATGACTGTTAGAGCATCTCTTTAATATGCAGATTGTATTAGCGCTCCGCCTGTGAGCTTGCAGCTGGCCCACAGTTCCATTGTGAAGGCATCACGCCAATCTGTGTCGCCACGACAACATTCGTCAATGGGACAACTGCATGGATGTGACCCTTCACCACCAGATATTAATCATGGGGCTAAAAATAGCTGCTGATCTGGGGGGTGACAATGGGTGGTCTTTACAGCCAATATCCTGTGGAAAATACCGCTAGTAGGCAGTCTGTGGGGTGAGATGGTGTCACTGTTCACAAGAACGATTGATGAAGCCAGTCTGTTATAATGTTATGTTATAATCAAATCACTGAGCGTCATCCTTTTTGAGAGTGCCTCGATTCCTGTGAGCATTTGTTACACGTGGTTTTAGTCTTTCGTTTTGACTCTCTGGTCTTATTTTCTGTTTTCCAGAGGAATGACATCGCCATGGCCATCACTAAGTTTGACCAGTTTGACTTCCTCATTGATATCGTCCCCCGGGATGACCTCAAGCCTCCAAAACGACAGGTGTGGAAAAGAGAGGAGCTTCAAGCTGTCAAAATTGACCGGCGTCTACAATGTTTTTTTTCTCTTCTTCAGCGTCTATGAAGAGAAGAGTGTGCTGTTGTGTTTGGCAGCCTGGGGGCGCTGTAAACATCCTTGACTGGAAGCTGGGTGTAGGGTTTGTGAAGGCTTTCAGTCGGATGTTTGCAGCACTCTGCTTCCCCTATCTCTGCACAACCAGATGTCAAAGTTATTCATTTTATTTTATGAATGTGGCCATAGCAACTTGTGTCTGACTCAAAAAACAACCATGTGTGGTTATGTGCCACAGCACTGGCAGTAGAACAAGGATTGGCAGGGTGAGCAATTCATCTTTTTGCCCACCAGTCACTCAGAAGCTTTACCAAATATTCTTGTTAGTTGAAATAACTACATGAAATTTAGGGAAAGTACATTAGTATTGTCTTTAAAAGAAATTGTACTTTTTGTTGACAATGTAGATTATTTGCCAGTCTCACCCTAAGTATATCCCTCAAATGCTTCTATTGACTCACATTAGCGACATAATGCCACTGAACATCTGAACTGTCTTTCAAGGTTTAGATATAAAATATAAATAAATGTATTTCTTCTAGTTAAAGCTGGTTTATAAATATAAACTAATACTTTGTTTGTATATATTTGTATTTATTTATATTTATAATATATGTGTAACTCCTGAACATCATGGAAGTACACTGGGCAAAATGTGTTAGATTCCTGGATTCTTAAATAATTTGAGTGTCTTATCATCAAGCAAAAGTTTTGTTTATAAAGTCAACAAAACATTTTAAATTGAAATGTCTTTCTAGTAACAAAACAGAATCACGTACAAGTAACTCTAAATATCACAGTGAGAAGAAATACCTGATAAAGAAGGAAGGAATTTAACCAATATATCCAGTGATCCAAGCCCTCCTAGCTCAGCTAAACCAGTCTTTGTTCGACCTGAGGGCCATAAAGGTCCTGCTGTGTTTGTGTGTGTGTGACCAGGTGTGTAAACATCCTACACTCTCAGCTGTGACATCACCAAGCTGGGAGAGGGATGTTTACTCTCTATGTCACAAATAGATCTTCAGGAATACATGGGGAGAAAATATAAAGATACTTAGTGCAAGTGTTTGAGTATTCCTACTGTTTGTGTGTAGAATAACACCGCTGATAACCTGCCATTATGCTGCGGTTGAGTGTGGGAGTTCATGCCTCAGACTGCAGCTAAAGGTCTCGTTTCTGTCCAGCTAGAAGATTGCATTACTCGCTCTTGCTTTGCCTATAAGTTATTTATCCTTCTCCTGCCTCTAGTGTTACAGAGCTAAAATAATTTATGGAGATGTAACCTGCAGATAGGCCTTATGAGCTCTTCATTTTCATGTGTGTGTTTATGGGATTGTGAATGTTCTCTTGCATTTATGGCGATCCTGCTGAAGTGTTCTGCAACATAAGATGGGAATTTCTCTATAAACGTGCCTGTGTGTGTAGGAGGAAGTGCGTCAGTCTGTCGCCCCGACTGAGCCAGTCCAGTATTACTTCACTCTGGCGCAGCAGCCCAGCGCAGTGCAGGTCCAAGGTCAGCAGCAAGGCCAGCAGGTGTCCGCTCCCACCGCCACCACACTACAGCCCGGGCAGATTATCATCGCTCAACCCCAGCAGGGCCAGGTAATCCCCGCTCGCTTTCCACAAACCCAAGGACGTAGTGCGTATATGGATTCTAGCGTCAAACAATGAGCTTTGAGACCCGTTCACACCAAGAAAGATAACTATAAAGATAAAAATAACAATAACTGTAATTCATACTTTGCACGTGACGTCACAAGTACTGGCTGGCGGGCAAGAACGTCGTTCTCTAGCAACGAAACCCAGTAAACTAATGAAGGATCGTGCCAGGACGTCGCCAGTTTTAATATAGAAAAGTTGGTGCTTTGAGGTGTAAACGACATGCCAGATAGTTGTTGTGCGATTGGATGCACTGTCAATAGTGTAATCTTAACATAAATGTGCTTACACGTTCTCCAGTAGGTGGCGAGAACGTGTTCATCTGTACGTGATTTGATTTGATATGATATGAGAAGATGAATACATGGAGAATGAATGACACGTGGAGCGTCTACTTATTACTTACTTACAGCTACTTTGCATGCAAACTATTGTACACTTATTACTATACTACATTACAGCCTAACAGATTGCTAAAAGGATTATACGCATTTCGCTGCTCTTGTCTGCAGCGTTTGTTGCACGCCATGGTAGTCACGTGACTGCAAAGTATGAATAGTGTCCACACCAATAGACGATAACGTTCTGTAGTATAAGTAGTTTAAGTATGTGTGCATTTATTTAGTCTGCTACTTTAAAGAGATTTGTAGAGATTTAGGAAACATGCCGAGTTCAAATACTTGTTTCTCAGAAAAACAGCGCTACAGCCAGTTATTCTACTTGAAATGTTTATTCCGGGTTGGAAAGTTTTGTTTATGGTTTGGTCGATGTGATCCTGCCCACTGCCAATTTACCCAATAGTATTTCGACACCCCGGTTTGGCAATTTGGCAGAAAACACAGATTATTTCAGCCATGGAAGCCAACAAATGAACTGGGTCAGAGATCACAGATTCTACCTGACCTAAAAAAAAAAAAGCCTAAGCAATAAAAACATTGCAAATGTATTCATTCGCTGATCAACTTAAAGTGTAAGGCTCATCGCTTTCAAATGTTAATTGTGCTCATTCCTGTTGTGTGTCCTCAATCTGGCAAACCGTGTGCGTGTCGAGTCTGAGGAGGAGGATGCGGAGGAAACAACTCTTGGGGAAATATTTTGAATGTTGATGGCAGTACCCATTTTGACTGCTAGCTGTCAATATTACATATTTCACCTTTAAACGTGAGCTCTTTAAACTTGATAAACAATATTGGGTTTTTTGTGTCATTATTGTTATGGTTGTGTGGACTTCCCTGTTCTCATAGAATTAGAACGATTATAAAAACTGTATAGTTATTGTCTTTGGTGTGAACGGGCCTTAAGAGATAGTTCACCCAAAAATTAAAATTGTAATTTACTCACCCTCAATTGTTCCAAACCTGCATTAATTTCTGTGTTGTGCTGAACACAAAAGAAAATATTTTGAAGAATGTTGGTAACCAGAAGAAGTTGTGTGTTCCCTTTCTATTAATTCCTTTAAGAACAGGTTGGATGCATTTTGCCTGTCAAAAGGTGTTTTGTATAATTATAAAGCTTGCCAGTAATTAATTTTATGTAATTTATTTAGAATTGTTAGGAAAACTTCACTTTATGAAATTAATGTGTTATTTATAAAATGTTAAAATGTGAAATTATATGTATATAAATATATTTGCTTGTGTTTTTTAGAGTCTGGAATAGAGGATTGCATATCCTGTACCAGAAATCTTTTCAATAAATTTCAATAACCAAACCATGGGTTTTTGGTCCCCATTGACTTCCATAGTATTATTATTCTATACTATAGAAGTCAATGGGGACCAGCAACTGTTTGGTTACCAACATTCTTCAAAATATCTTCCTGTAAGTTCAACAGAAGAAAGAACTTCATACAGGTTTTAGAACAACTTGAGGGTGAACTATAAGTTTAAGGGTTCCCTACTACATAGCAAAAAACAGTATGTGAAAAGAATAGTAACTCCGAATTCACAGTATTCATTAAACAATAGGCGAAAAAACCCGGATGATTTACTATTTCCGGTGAGATTCTGAAGTGCGGCCCATGAGGCCACAGTAGATTATTTGTGATGCTGGTAGATCACATGACAATGACAACATGGTGAATATAGTATGTTCGCATTACATTCATAACATAGAACATACCATTTTAGCAGTCGCAAAGTAATTATTTACTCAAAAAATGTACTCATAAATTGATGACTCATCTTGCATGACACAGCAAATAGCAAACCATGATTTATGGCTTTTATACTAAAGCCTTTTGACTATTTAAAAGAAACGGACTACTCTTTCGCTATGTCCCACCCAAACTTCCTGTTTCAAAAGGATATATTTCAACGGAGGAAAGAGAACTGGTATCTAGAGGCTTGGAGAACTTTGTTTGCCCTTGTAATGACCCTAGTGTATATTATACTACGGTCTGAAACTTTATAGTACCTACACTCGAGCCCCGATTACTCTGATCAGCCCATTACAGGATCATTTGAAACATGATTGGTGAAGGTTGAAAGCCCAGAGGTGTCATTCACACGTTGCTATCAGGTGAACGCTAGAGAGTCAAGTCAGTCTCTCATTTTGTTAACTTTTACTAGTTTAATTCCAACGGTGCGAAAGTGCTCTTTCTCACTTTCTTGCTATTTTTTTGTCTGTGGTGAACGGATCAGTGCTGCTTCAGCAAGCTGCAGTTTGCTGACCTGTCAGATTTGGGCAAAGTTGTGCTACAGTCACCTTAAAGAGCGCTCCGGACAAATCTATACAGTGGGGTTCAAAATGTCAGACCACACTGAAAATGAGATTCAAAATATAACCTGGAAATTTATATTTTGAAAAAATGTAAACACCCAAGAAAAAATACTTAAGTTTGTGGACAATTTCTAGGTCAAAATTGTGACATTGTTCATGTGAGCTCCTTTGTACAGAATACATTAATACATTAAACTTTATAGTCATCAAATAATCCTGAAAAATGTATCACGGTTTCCACCAAAATATAACGCATTTTTGTGGAAACATGATTTTTGAAGGATGATGATTCTGATAATTCAGCTTTACATCACAGGAATAGTAATTATTAAATGTATAATATTATATGTATATAAATATTAAATGTAATAATATTTCACAATATTAGTGTTCTAACTGTATTTTTGATCAAATAAATGCTGTCTTGGTGAGCAGAAGAAATGTCTTTGAAAAACATTGTATATCTACATATACCGGTATATCTACATAGGAAAGAAAGAAAGATGATGGAAAAACAGTGGTGTAGAGAATTTATGCACATGAAAAAAGGCAACCACGTTTATTGAAAAATTGACAAAACATTTGTCAGACTGTGACCTCTTCCTTCATGCGCTCTGTTCAAGCTCACTTGTTTAACCCTTGAAGTAAATTGATTGTTACTGGGGTTTTATCTTCACACCTGAGGACAGAGTCAGTTCAGCTTCATCTCACTGTCTGCTCACTGCTTTGTGCCGCTATATGCTTTCATTTCCCCAAATGCAAAACTTTCATAAACTGTCATTGAATTTTACAGCAGAGCTGTCACTCATCTTCACTCTGCTTTAGTTAATGCCTGTTCACACCACATCTGAAACTATAGAATAACAAGTCTTATTTTCACAGCCGTTTTTCACACTTAAATTATTCACACTATGCATACTTTGAATTTAAATTGTAAATAATAAATATTTATTAAATTATAAATTGTAAATAATAATAATAACTATTATTATTTTATAAAGAAAATATTGCAGTGTGACATTTCAGGGTTAGTGTGTTCATTTTATTTCATAAAAAAAAAAAAAAAAAAAGCCTTATGCATGTTTTTATGCCACCCCAAAACTGTGGATATGCTGTGAACATGCCTTTAAAGTCTGTTCATACTACATGTGACGCATCACGCTTTAATTTCTCGACACCATTTGTGGATTCTCAGTGCATTGCCTTTTTTGTTGCTTTTGTATGTGATGTTTGAGTATGCGCTTTGCATGTGCTTGCTTGTTGTTCACTCTCTCTTTCTGGCATATTTCCTCCTCTTGCTCAGGTATTGCAGGGAACCACCATGCAGCAGCTACAGCAGGTGCAAGTTGCTCAATCACAGGCGACCCCTATCACGGTAAACACCTCCAACCCTTAAAAATGGCTCCTATTGCCACAAAAAGGAGCTTTTTTAGGGCTTTTTGTCATGACGATTGAATAAGAACTGCATTTCAAAGCACAAATCAGTAGTAAAATGTCCCAGTTTGAGTACGATATCACATACTATACATTAAACAATGCAGTAAATGGAAGCAGATGTATGATAATACAGTGCTACTGCCTGACGGTTAGTTTATAGTTTATATCATGTTATAGAGTGGTGACGTCAAAACCCGGAAGACTAATTCTCCACTGGTTTCCTCTGGGTTTTATAATGGGGGTTTTCAATTTATGAGTAAAATAAGGTCTGTGATAAACATAAATTGGCGATACTTGCATGTTTTGTTCTATAGCGTAAACTGCACACACTCACACCCCAAGCGTTCTTATCTAGTCACTTATTAGAAACATACTTTTTTTTTAATGAAAGTAACTTCAAAATTTGCGTTTTCGATATGGGTGTAATTTACGTATGTTGTAGTGTTTATTGATTTGAGCTTCACTCTTGTGGTTACTGGAAGTAAAATTTCAAAAGAAGCCTTGTACCATTTTGCAATGAAAAAAACTGTTATTATATATAAAAACATTACGGACAGTAAGTGTTTTAATCTTCAAGCATTTTTCCCTTCACTAAAAAAAACGCTCTTGCTTTGAAGCCAGTAAAAAACGTGTGTTTAAAAAAAAAAAATTAATACTTTTATACAGCAAGGATGCATTAAATTGGAAAAGACATTAATAATGTAGCAAAATATTTCTGTTTCAAATAAATGCTGAAAAAAATCCTTTAAAATAGTGTTTCCACAAACATATTAAGCAGCACAAATAATAATAATATCTTGATAATAATCATAAATGTTTCTTGAGCTGCAAATCAGCATATGAGAATGATTTCTGAAGGATGATGTGTATTGAGTAATGATGCTGAAAATTCACCTCTGCATCACAAGAATAAATGACATTTTATAATATATTAAAATGGAAACCCGTTCTTTAAATTGTAATAATACTTCGCAGTATTAATGTTAATACTGTTTTTGACCAAATAAGTGCAGCTTTGGTGAGCATAAAAGACTTATTTCAAAACAAAAATGTAAACCCAAACTATTGAACGGTAGTGTTTCTGATATAATAGATTAGCTAAATGGATAATTAAAGGCTAAAGTCGCCATGTTCTCCTAAATAAAAAAGAGAAGCAGTTGTTATTCACACGGCCAAATCTGCAATTCATATGCCCTCTGTTTGATGCTACACGAGTTCACTGCGCGTCTCCGGCCAGATGAAGTTGTGCTGCTTAGTAAATTGCTCTGGCCTATCGGGTGTCAGTTCCTGAAGAGGAGAGATCATCTGTCACGGCTCAGCATTCAGCGCACTGGTTTCTCCGCTCGACGGTCACAGTCTTGCATCTCTCCCCTTTCCTCAACACGTCTTCAGTTTCACTTTCTTTTGGAGGCCTTCCAAGCCCACAGGGCGTAATGCTAATGCTAGCACTTCTGTTCCAGCGTACATGCTGAAAGAGACTTGGAAGGCACACGGCAGGATGAAACGCAACTTGTATGTGAGTTTAAATCCGCATTCCCACCCTCATGGCTGTCCTCCTCCCTCTTTCAGAGTGCTCCTGTGACCATGCAGGTGGGCGAGGGCCAGCAGGTGCAGATCGTGCAGGCGACCTCGCAGGGGCAGGCGCAGGCGCAGGCGGCACAGTCGGCGGGGCAGACCATGCAGGTCATGCAGCAGATCATCACCAACACAGGAGAGATCCAGCAGATTCCAGTAAGAACTGACCAGAAAAGGCACAAACCTGTTTAGTTTGTGATTTAGAGGTTTTTTTATAAGGGTTATAGATTGGTAGTGGGGATTGAGGCGTAACCATTAGTTGGAGGTAATGATGTGTGCTCATCAGTGTCCTCTTGTGGTGTCCTGCAGGTGCAGCTCAACACTGGCCAGCTGCAGTATATCCGCTTGGCTCAGCCCGTCTCAGGAACACAGGTTGTTCAAGGACAAATACAGACACTTGCAACAAACGCTCAGCAGGTAAAGCAAGAAACCTTTAAATAGTCACATCATGCATACCTTAAAAGTGGTTTACAAAAGTGGAGTGGTCATAAAAGCTTTTTTTAAAAGTCATTGTTTTTGCTGTTTTGTGACACTAATGGCACAGAAGTTCACCTTTAAGCAGTTGTGTATTTCACATAAAACATATATTTCCTTCATTTGATGAATGCAATGAAAATGATGAGTGTGATTTTTGTTCTTTAGATTACACAGACCGAAGTACAACAGGGTCAGCAACAGTTCAACCAGTTCACTGATGGGCAGGTAATTACTTTTTTGACGTTTTAAGGCTTTATATATGCATTTATTTGATCGAAATACAGTTTAAAAAAAGTAATATTGGGAAATATTTAAAATAAAATAAAATTAATTTGAATATTTTTTAAAAATGCTATTTATTCCTGTGATCAAAGCTGAATTTTGCTGCACAAGAAATATTTCTGATTACTATCAAAGTTTATTTTCCGCTTAATACGTTTGTTGAAACTGATACTTTTTGCAGGATTCTTTGATGAATAGAAAGTTTAAAAGAACAGAATTTATTTGAAATGGAAATTTTGTCTAACATTATAGATATCTTTATTCTCACTTAATGCAATGATCAATTTAATGCATTCTTGAAGAATAAAAGTATTAATTTCTTTCAAAGGAAAAGAAAAATTATCTTAGCATTAAAATATTAAAATACATGCATATAATCAGAGCTTGACATTAACTTTTTTGCTTACCAGCCACTGTAGCTAGTGCTTTTCCAAAGTTACTAGCCACTCGATACACAATCAGACATCGATACCATGGGGGGAAACTGCCATATATATATATATATATATATATATATATATATATATATATATATATATATATATATATATATATTAGGGGTGTCCCCGACTAAGGATTTTCATAGTCGAATCAGATTCGTGAAGTCCTGCCTATAGTCGACTAATAGTCGAATCATGTGTGTGGTGTTGGGGAGGGGGCGGGGCTTTAACATTTTAAAGCCGCGATGTACAGAACATCACACAAAGATATAGAAGAAAATGTATAAAAACATTTTGGATCAATAAAACTAAGAAATAACATAAATAACTGCAGAAAGGCCACACTGCAGATAGGATTTGCATTTCACATGCAAATTAAATTAAATCGGCTGAATTGCCTGTACGAGCATGCTCTAAGTAGGCCCACAGCGCAACATCGATGCACTGAAAAATAATCAACAATTAAGAACACAATATACATTTATAATAAATAAAAATACAAAACGAAATAAGTCAGAATCAAGTCACAAGAAGCAGAACAAATGTGTGCAAAATGCCTAAAGTGCAGGGGAACAATATTCAAAACACAAGTCACAAATAGTTAAATTAGATCACCCTGAGTGATCAATTAATAAAATAAAAATAAAGAAATTATTAAAATAACGAAAGTATGGCCAGGATTGTCAACTTTGTATTTTTAACTGCAGAAAAACAATAAACGCTAAACTGGAGCGGCAGTCTTTTTAGCTAAACGTGTTTACAGTATCCAAAAATCAAATTAGAACCGGCTGAAATGTTTTGAAATCACTTGTACCCATACCTGATCGAAAAAACAAAATCCAGTCTTTCACTCGGCCTGTGTCCGTTTGAGTCTTTTCAAATTGTGTGCGCGGATAAAATACATTGTAAACCGCTTAACGTGAAAAACGCTTAACGGCTTTGTCCTAAAACTGTTATATTAAAAGATCAAATTCTGTACACACCTTATTAATAAAGCATACTATATAGCCTACAGAAAAGCAGATGAGCCCAGAATATGAACGCAGCGCGTTTTATTATAGGCTACGTTAAGCATTGTCCTCCCATAGAAAACCGTTAAAGATAAAGCTGTGACTTTCTAAAGGAGAAACGCGTTGCGTTCATATTCTGGGTTCATCTGCTTATCTGCACATAGAATGGTTTCTTAAGGTGTGTAGCCTACTGTGTTCATACATTAAGCACGTAAAAGTGTCATTTAAGCGTTTTAAAAGCTTTTTCCACGTTAAGCGTTTTAGAACGTCCCGAGGAAAACCAACCTGTTAACGTTGGCCGGCAGAAGTGCGATCATGGTTTTCCTGATGCTACATCCAGCCTTGGAGATTATCCTTTCTGATGGTGTGCATCTTTAGATTTTCTTATCCCAGACATTTTTAAAGATTTAAATCCCTGCCGACAAGACGCTCCTCTGTCGGTCACGGATCGAAAGTGAAACTTAAATCTGTCACGGGGGGTTTGGATTTATTCACGCTGCACGCACGTTAAAAAATATTTATTAAAAGCTTCTTTCTTTGCACATTTTTATTGACAGCATTATCATAATAGGCTGTATTAACGTATTGACAGAAAACCAGTAGTTCTATGTGAAATCAGACATTAAGCACACTCATATAGCCAAAATGACATAATCCTCATTTAATAACACATCTGCGAAGATTCGACCGTGAGATTGGTAGTCGAATCAGGCTCCTCCTATCGAAGCATCGAATCTTCGACTATTCGGGGTCACCCCTAATATATATATATATATATATTTAATATTATCTCATAACTTGGCAGCAGATATATTAGGCTGCTGTCACTTTAAGGCTTGACACACAGATCCGTTTTACTGTTACACATGCGTTTTTCTATCTCAACTGTTTACGTTCACTTAAAACAACTGACTCCGTTTATGTGAATACCCGCCAAGACTGGCATTTTGATATTATTTTCTGTGTATTTGACTGTTTATGCGCAATAAGCAGCGAAAATGACCTCAAGGTGGCTTTGTGCGCACACTTTAGGTGTGAGTTTATTATTTCAGAAGTCTTTTTAAAAAACTAAAAATGTATATATTATATATAATTTCAACCCGCCAAAGTGGCTAGTAGGAGTGACTGTGTTACACGCCGCCACTGCTGAAATACACCCGGGTTGGTCGGTGTTTATGTCAAGCCCTGCACATAATAAAAAATACAATATTCTATTATTATTCTGATATTTTGAGTTGCCACAGTCCGAGTTCAGTAACATCCCTCTGTGTGTGTGTGGCTCTACAGCAGCTGTATCAGATCCAGCAGGTGACGATGCCGGCGGGACAGGAGTTGACCCAGCCCATGTTCATTCAGTCCACCAGCCAGACGACCGACGGGCAGGTCAACACACAGGTCAGCGCAGACTGAGGCCGTTCATCCCGACACCCCCAACCGGAGCTCAAACACACACACCAACATCCTTCCACTTCCCTTCATCTCATGCCATATTCTGATCAAGTTCTCCGTTTAATTCAGCAGTCGAATAATAAACTTTAGATTTACGCTTCATAACTTACCGTCCAAATGACACGTTTTGCTGTTTTGTTAAAGTGTTGGTCTCTTTAATACAGGACTGAGGAATGGAAGGATCAATGTGTAGTGGCAGAGATTTGCTTTCTGCCATATGATTTTCAACTATGTCTTCTGCAATATGGCGAAAGTATGAACCCACTGTCTTCCTTTCAGTATAGGTAGAATATGTCCTTGTTTCATAGTTTAATGTGGATGTGGGTAGAGATTATGCTTTCAGATGTGTTCAGTGATCGTGGCATTAGAGTGAAGCTTGTGGAACCGGAGCAGGAGGGCACTTCTCAGCTGTACAGTGGAAAATATCAACCTTTTTTTGTTTGTGTTTTTAAGCCCTCATTCATTTTGACAGATCATGCCATCTCATGATGTGTAGAGTTTGAAACTTGATGATAAAAAGCCATAATCTACACATTCTGTATCTCTGTAGTTTTACTATAGTAATTGTATTAGTTCAGTTGTAGTATCTTGTATAGTTTTGAAATTTGATAACATTGTATTTGTTAAAGGGCTTCTTATTGTTGGGTTTTCTACATGCGAATGGTCCTCTTCGTGTGAATGTGTGCAGGTTATTGATGTGCTTGGTATTGTCGTTTCTTTCTGAAACCGATTTAAAGAGGCTTCTTCTGCCCCTTTCAAATGAACTGCTCCACTGTTACCGACTTGATAAAACAACAGCTTAAGTAAATAAAATAAAAAAGAAAACTTTTATATAAACCGTTTTAATACCAACTCTTCTTTTTTTTTTATTGCCCTCTTGTTTTTTCATATTATAATTGTTGGTCATGTTGTTTTGCATGTAGTTATGACTCCCAGCATGATATGCAATACCTACAGTAGGTACAAATTTTATTTTTGTTGTTTTTGTTTGTTTTGTAAACAGACCTTGCTTTGTGAGAAAATAAAAACTCCCAAAAAAGATTGAAATTGTGTGTTGTTTTTTCCCACAATAGTTTTATTATTACATTATAAATATAGCCTAAGCGCACTTGCTTCCTACACATGGTGTGGTTGTATGAGATGGAGGTTTGACTCTTGCCTGTCATGTCCGAGTTGCCAACCAAATAAAGGCCTTAACTATAAAAAAAAATGTTTTATTACGTTGTTGACTTTTGAGTACATTTATTTTTAACTGAGAACATTAGATTTGCTTTGACGTCAGGGCTCGGTGTGTGAGAGTGGTAGTGTTTATCTTCACCACACGGTGGCGACATTCCAACCTGACGAGCTCAATCACTTCTCAATCAGTTCTGGGATCAGAACTCTGACTCATTTCCGTGATTCGAATCTTTCAAACGGTTCGTTTCAAAGAACAACTTCTAAACACGGGTACGTACATCCCAGCGTGGCATATTACATGCACTAAACGCTCCAACAAAGCCTTATATAGGTAATTTCTCTTTATTTATGTTTTAATAATAAAGGTTTTATTGTCACTTATCTCAGTTTGTTCATTCCTGCCATGAAAACAAATAAATTACTGCTTAATTATACTTTGTAGTTGCATCAAACAATACATATTTCATGTGCGTTTTATTTACAGTTCTGCGAGTCGGATACGAAAAGTTCTTATTTATATGATCAGATGCTCTCATTCTTCGGTTTTCGGCTCGTTAGGAATCGGCTCATGTTCTGGAAAAGAATCGGTTGGCAGTAGAACCACTTCGAATTTACTTCGGATCATTCAGATCGGATTTGATGATCAGCAGCACTAAATGATTCGCTGGCGAATCTTACATTGTTTTATCACGAGGATCTGTCATTAACGTGAGTGCTTGCATCACAACATATCGTGCAAAATCAAATAAACAGACTTTATATTTTCCATATTTTTGTTTATGGAAAAATGTGGAGGTTGAGTCACGGGTTTGTTAATGAGCTCTAAGCTTTGTGAGCTCAGGCTCCATTCCTTATCCGGCATAAATCTCGAAAGGAAGGCGTGATTAGGACGGAACTGGGGGAAAAAAAAGTCAAAAGATTTTAATTTCGAGTGTTTATTCATCCCATACTTTGAGCAATACCTAGGAACTCATCCTAAACGTTCAGCTCTTGGGAATATGCTGTTTTCCCTGAGATATAACTGTTCTAAGATAGGCCATAATATTTTTTATGAACATTCAGATGGAAAAGGCTGGTGGTGGTTTTGTAATTCTTTAAGTTTATAGCACACAAACAAGCCTACACTTCCTGTTAGATCTGTCAGGCCAAGGGTTTCACTTCTGGACATGCCTAATCGTCTTATGCGGTGAACAATTACTGCATTAATGAGTGAGGATTGGTTCTTAATATTTGAGATATGGGGCCCGGTGAATATCTGTACCTAATCCTGGTATGACTTGGATTTATTAACTCTGTTTGTCTTGGCTGTTGAGTTTCTTCAGGTCAAGGAATCATCCAAAAGATTAGCAGAGACATGTCATGAGAGACCACGAGAGATTTGTTAATCTAACACCACCACCAAAATCATGTACAATAACTCATCTGATGTAAGACATTGCAATGAGTATAACATGTTTTTTTTTTATTGTAGCCTGTGACCTTATGCCAGCCTATTGTTGTCATCAGGAAAGCACTTCTAGCTGCTGGCTTGGCACAGCCATAGTGTTGACGGTTTAGACGCCTCATCATTTCAAAGGGGAAACCCAGCGGATCAGGCTTCAACTTTGGATGTGGTTCTAAATTCCATCACATGACCCTCGGTTACTGATCTCTTATACTGATTTATTACTGCTGGACCTTATGTAAAACATAAACTTTATTCAATTCTTTTCTTTTTTTTCACTTATTTGTATAACACTTCACAAAACAGCTTTACAACAAGAACAATATATTTTTATAGGCATATTTAAATGCATACATACACAAAAGTTATGTGAACCATCCACGTGGTATTACATATAATCTCTAGACTATGTATATAACCAATAAATGATTGATTTAAAAATTCTATACAGTTGTGTTTAAATCATTTAAAAATAGAAAACTAAAATAATTGGTTGGAAGTGCTACAAATACATTTAGGCATTAAAACATATTTTACAGGGGAAAATTGCAGGGGACAATTTTAGATTGTCTAAAGATTGAAGTTTTTCATTATTGGCGTTTTTAAAAATTAGCTCTAAGTGAGCGTTATGCTGGCAAATGTAAAAATAAGGACATGAGCATGCATACTTAAATATCCAATATCAACCATACTGATAAAATCTTGAAAATCAGCTGATAACTAGTACAATACTGATATATAAAAATGGTAAATAGTGGTTTTCTTACTCCATGTATGCACAAAACATTATGATGGGAGAAGTGTTAGTTTATGAGAACCATTTATTTTTCGGTAAATTAAAGAGGACCTCTTATGCCCTTTTACAAAGTCTTCTTGATCTTGTTTTCGGGCTCTACTATAATTTCATGCTTAAATGTTCAAATAAAAACTTTTTACATATTCTCCACTGTTGCAGCTCCTCTCTTCCCAGTCTGTCAGTAACGCTCTGTTTAGTTCCTGTCTCTATGAAGCCCGTCCTTCTGAAAAGCACAATGAGCTCTGATTGGTCGGCTGGATCACTGTGCTGTGATTGGTCAACCGCTTCGAGCGTGTTTGGGAAATGTCCCGCCCCTTACCATAACCACCAGTTTCAACACACTACTAACTAACTCAACCAGTCCTCGTCCCTTTATCCTGTGTATGTCTTAGCCGGGAATTATTTAAATGAGGAATATTGTGGTGTTTGTTCCCGGAAGAAAACTCAAGACTACAATGGAGGCGTTTCAGGGAGTTCAGAAACACTGACACTGGTATAGAGAATAACTCCCACTGGAGGGACTTTGTAACTTTACAGACCTTTTTTATGCTCAAACAGCAACATTACACACTAAAGAAAGTTGAACATGTAAACAAGCATAATAGATCCTCTTTAAAGTAGAAAGCTGTTGGATTAAGCGGTCGGACTCTGAACCGGAATCTCAGTAGTGCTGAATAATCTCGAGGATAATCCTGTGTTTTCCCTCCGTTCAGTTCTGGAATCTGTGAATGACTGACCTATTTGTTTTGAGACAAAGCTTTAGCAATCTGGCTCTTTACAGGTTGTACACATGTCTGAAAAGGCATAACCGGCGGCCAGAGCAAACACTGGTGTCAGAGTCTGTATCTGCGGGATCTTGTGGACAGGCCGAGTCCGGTCCTCGTGGCGTGGGTTTATGAGCCCGTGCTTTTAAAAGCCAAAGTGTCTGGGCATCGAGGCTGAGACTCAGGAGGGCATGAACTGGAGAGCGAAGTCTTCCTCTTTTAACTGTGCACATGTGATCAATGTTTTGAACATAAGGGTGTTTTAGACTTTGGTTGGTTAAGGAGTTTAGATACAAAAGGCCTTGTATTTGGCTGAGGAAAAGGTGTCTCAGCCCTCACAGGTCTTTCAAAAGGTCTCTTTCATTCAAGGTCCTGGAAACACACCAGCAGAAGATACAACCCTGCTACTGTTCAGCCTCTGGCCTGCACTACGGTCGTGACATCATTTTGGAAAAGGAAGTAATGGATTTGAAAGTTAGTTCAGAAGCAGATTTAAGTCTAGCCACAGACTGCATAGAGTATAATTCATATATAAACTAGTCACAGTCCAAATGATCTCAAGTTACACATATAAAGGTTTCAGGTCTTTGTTACATTATATTGTATCCTTTTTCATGTCGTTAGCTGAATTAAGTATAGCATACTTCTCTTAATTTGAGTATGCTATGCCGAATTGTTGACGTCTCCTCTTTTCCTCTGGTTTATTAGTCCTGTTGTGTCGTTGGTTGTTGTTCATTGTTCTTGTTTAGTCGGTGGTTGTGGTAGATCTGTCTTTTGAGCTTGTTTACCACGCGTTTGCATAAATTCTTCTCATGGATTACTCTTATCTTTTGTCTTGCTGTTTTAAAGTAGCTTAGTTATTTTGTTTGTGAGTTGAACTTGTTTTTGACTGTTCTTGGTTCATCTCTCTCTCTCTTTTTTACTGAACTATCAATGGATTCAAGGTCTTGTCTTAAACTTCATGTGATTATTTGGGGATTTTGGATTTGCATTGGGGTTCACTAGCTTGAAACGGATTTGATTTCATGTGATTTCACACTTGCTAAATATGATTGGATCCCATTTTAACATGCACAAAATTCAGATTTGATATTCTCGATTTTGATATTTTTGAAAACTCACCTTAGAATTAATATTAACATGTTGACTGAGCCCCACAAGTATTGGTGAACAAATATAAAAGAAAGAAGCAATTTAATAAGCCAAACTATATTTCTGGTGTGGGAAACATTGCTGAGCATCGTGTTCTCTACAGAGCGAAGCGGAAGTGAGGGCCCGAGGTCTTACAGTCCTGCTGATGTGTGTGTATTTTTAAGTTCTCCTAATGTCCCTCAGTGGGCGTTCACCGTTCAGTCTTGGACAACACAGAGCTTTTTGGGTCGTGAGTGAATGTGTCCTGTGAGTGTGTGTATTTATGTGTAAAGAGCTCCAAGTTTTCCCATATCGCCTCACCACATTTGTTGTCTATTTGCACCCATGCGCCAAAGGAAGGCGAGAAGGTGTTTATGTCTTTCAGAAGATTCGCCTCAGCATGACATTTGGCCCTCAAAGAAGAGTGTGTGTTTCTCCTGTGAGTCCAGTGACCTTGCCCAGCTGCTGTGTGTGTGTGTCATCAGAATCCAGGGCTGGTGGTTTGGGATGCTTATGTATCATCAGTCTGTTTTCGTGTTCATTGCTGGTGTTAGGAGGGGACTCTGTTTGTTCCCCTGAATGATCGATTCTGTCCCGTGACACGTTTGAAATTAATCCTGTGAGCTTGCTGTGGGTCACCTGCACTTACATAAGGACTAAACGGATTATAATTCAAGAAATTATATGTGATTAAGTAAAACCGAGCTTGTCATGTCACATGTAGATGTCCATACTGGTTTCTTTCGGTGTGTTCACACTTGTAGTTCAGTTCGCTTGGTTCGTTTGGACCAAAAAAAAAACATTTAGTCCTGGTCCACTTACTGTTCACATTGGCATTTTAACACCAAACCTAGACATAGGGATATGTTCACAACCTGATTTGTCGGCTTTTATTACGTATATTTTGTGGCAGAACTTACCGAACATCCAGAGCAACGCTGTGTTCTGGGATAAATGCTCTCGTTGTATATGCGTAGCTACATATGATGGTATTTTGACCATCTGAAAACTCGTGAAGAGCTTATAAAATGTCTTAAGGAGTCAAAAAAGCGTCAGGAATCCCTCCGTCACACACACGCACACAAACCAAGATCTGCTGCGAGGAGACGCGGTTCTGACGCCTGTACTGAACTGTGATGGGCGACATAGCAAATATGACGAGAAAAAACAGGTATGCTTGAGCATTCTGTGCTTTTTAGGGTCACATCTTGTGACATCATGTCCTGTTTTTGGTTCTTTTACATGTCTTTGGCCTGTTTTGCGTTCATATTTCATTCAAGCCGCACCAGAGTTTGTTTGGAAGCGGACCGAAACTCATCTTTTCAGCGTCTCGGTTCGCTTGTTTGGTGTCAACAGGGTTCAGATGACAGCGTTCACACTTATTCAGATGAACTGCACTAACAGAGCAATCGCACCAGGGTTTGTTTTTTAATCGAACCAAACCTGCGACGTGTGAACACACCCTTTGAGAACCTGCCTCATATAATTAAGGGTGCATCTCAGTCAGCTCTGTAGTTCACTAGTCAGGGAGTCGGCCGTTTTAAGAGCCGTCTCAATCGCAAAATCCTTCCAGTGCACAGAAACGTTTGCTCCCTAAAAAGTCCCACAATGCACTGTGAAAACCAAGGAGCATTGTAATGAGCCAGGGTCCTTACCAGTGCCTGAATTCATGTACACGATATACTGATTCACAACATAGGAAACTAGGGAGTTGATTGAGATGCACCCTAACTCTCCGCCAGCATCTTATTTTTATTATAGTTTTATTTTAGTTGTCAGCCAGCGCCAGTTTTTAATGATATTCACAAAACTTTCATGCCCCCTAGAATATTTTTTCTATATTAAAAGAAAGAACAGAGCTTTTAAACGACAACAAAAACACGTTAGCTTAACTTGTGCGTAAACAACTTGTATCCACTCCTGCGCTGCGTCTGAAATCGAATACTTCCTTACTATATAGTAAGCGAAAAACAGAGTAGTATGTCGAACACATAGGATTCGAAAAACTAGGTGAAAAATACCCGGATGACCTACTACTTCCAGCGAGATTCTGAAGTGAGCCTTTGATGGACACTTTACTATCCCATGAGGCCACGGTCATGCTCTAAAGTGTGAGCTGCAGGAATGCTGTAAGTGTGTACACTATCTTTTGCCTATCATTTTTCATCTGATGTTGAAAGTAACAGCTTCTGAGATTCTGAGAAATGTCTGAACCCTAAGTATCAGAGTAGACTTTTACTCAGCTTCTTTCCAGACAAAATGGGTGGATAAGTTATTAATGACTTTAATTCATTTGTTTATATTCATGTTTTGGGTTTTTTATCCTCGCTCATTTGCACACAACATTTTGTGCTGTTCACCCAACAGCTTTAAAAACAAGTGGTTCAGGAATGTGCATGGAAATGTCATTAAGTTTAAGATCAAAACATGCAAAAGAAATGTTGACACGAGTGCTTGCAGGGAATAAAGCAGGGCTTAAGAGGCAAAGGACTAATGCATTCCACGGTTGCTCTAAAGCATTGCATAGGCTATAGCAACAGCCGAAGCCATTAGGACGGTCTGCATAAAATCACATAAACTAAATGCAAGGTATTGATTGTTGATGTCCCTCTTCTCTGCTCCATCATCAACCATCAACACCGCATAACTTAAGCATTAATTCTCAAACTTTTTTAGCGCAATATAAGAGAGTGATTCGAGACTACTATTCTTATTTTACTATTGTCCTTATGGGTAGGTGACACATGCAGACAATACTGGCATTTAGTGAGGCACATGTGCAGAGCTTAGAATACTGAACAGCACATCCCCAGCACCTGTTCAAGAGGGTTAATCTTGGCCTTGACATCAACAAGATGGCCTTTTGATTGATTCTCTTGATATGACTGAGTGCATGTTTACACAGAGGTACATTGATCCAGTATGAAGTTGTATATAAATGTTTGATGATTCCACACAGTGCATGTGCGAATTATGCTACAACTTCGGGTGGATCTGTTTTTTATTTTCTGTAATTTTTTTAGGGGTGCGAAAAAATGTGTTTAGGTTTGTTGGGGGAAAACAGAAAACTGAATCCGTTCTGCTAAATTTGGTGGCAGTGCCATCCATCCCTCCCTCTCCTCGCGTGTGTCCTGCTCTCACTTTCATCCTCCTCGCGCTCCGCGCAGCACGTGCAGGTTACGCACTCTCTCAGTCCACATCGTTGAGCGTCTTGGACTCTATAATATGTCACGGACTTTTGGGACAATCTTGAAATGACCGAACTACAGGCACGACTTTGAATTCATCTCACACGGACCCGCTCCGCTCCTCCCCAAAGAACCGAAATGAGCGTCGCGCGCCGGAGGGGGAAAACCGGGCATGTCGTTTACTTCTAAACATTTCTGCTTTGTTCTTAGACAGTATTTGTCAGGAAACCTTGAGTTATGGAATGCGTTCGGATTTTTTGTGCTGCAGGGTGTGTTTTAAAACTTTTGAGTAGCCTAATTAATGCGCAGGTTAGTGTCTCACCATGAAGTGCTCATGTTCCAGTTACGATTTAAGATGAAAATTCAGCTGAAATATTCATATCAATGTGGAGTCATGGCTGTATGGACGTATCTTTGATTAGTAATAGCAACTTAAATTAACTAATAACATGCAGATGCGCTCTATGAGGCTTTTCAACTGGATCACCTGAACACTTTTTGTTCACTTGCTGGTTATTAGAACGAGCTTGCTGTCTTTTAAAGGGATATGATGTTTTTACGTTTAATTAGTAATTGTGTTACATGCCCTGTCACATTTTCTGATTACAACAATCACTTTTGTTTAGAAAAATATTTGATAGTGTAAGTTTTGCTGTCTGCTTAATCAATTATCGGTTGTTTAACATCTGGTTTAGCGATAAATGTAAAAAAAAAAAAAAAAAAAAATAGCGACCAACAACGACATTACCGGGAACAGGAAACAAAAGTGTCTACAGGTAAATTAATAATTTTTTTATTGTTGTTTTCATAAATTATCAAAAGTTGTATGTAATAGACATTAATTCTTAAGTGCGATGTGTTGATATTGTTTGTCAAGATTAGTGAAGAATTTAGAGAATTAGAGAGAATGATGAGTTAATGATATTCTTTGCAACTAAACAGGCTATTTAAGAAACAACATTATTATTAAATTCACAGTTTGGAATATTATTAATAATGCATTAATTTGGATTATATTCCCAACAATAAGCAAGTGTTTTTATTATTGTAGTATGATAATAATTGAGCTATTATTGTGTAAAACATCAAAAATTGGTTCTGAATATCAGCTGTAGGACACTTAATACAAATAATCATTATCGGTTGTTAAACTGTATCGGTCGATCTCTGCTGTATATGGTGCACTAGTTTGCTTGTGTAAACACAATAATGTTGGGTAGTCCTTCCAATAACGGAGGCATTAGGATGCTGGCCCCCCCTGCACCCAACGATGACAGGCGGGTTGAGTTTGTGGCTCTCACGGCTGTTCATACGGAAAGAAGCGAGCCGTCCAGCCCAGAGCGAGGACACCCGTCTCACCGCACCGGCTTACTGGGCACGCCACTGCCAGCGCCACCGGGCCCGAGGGCGACCCCTTCTGCCTCCAGCAAACGCTACAGAAAGTTACAGAACTGCCTGTACAACGTGCTCGAGAGACCCAGAGGATGGGCATTCATCTATCACGCCTTCATGTAAGTCACCCACATCAAACTGTTGGTTTTGAGATGCACGTTTTTGTTTTACAAAGTCTTAAAGGGATAGTTCACCCAAAAATGAAACTTCTGTCATTAATTTCTCGCCCTCATGTTATTCCCAATCTGTAAGACTTTCGTTCATCAACGAAATTAAGATCTTTTTGATCAAATCTGAGAGCTTTCTGTCCCTCCATTGACAGCTAAGCAACTACCACTTTGATGCTTCAAAAAGAGATCGTAAAACTAATCCATATGAATTGAGCGGTTTAGTCTAAATTTTCTGAAGAGACTCGATCACTTTATATGATGAACAGATTGAATTTAGGCTTTTATTCACATATAAACATTCATCAACACGCACATCAGTTGTGGAAAATGGAAGATCAACCATATTTGCTTGACATGCGAGAACCAATGAGATTCATTCTCGTGTTACGCGTCACAATTGAGCTTCGGCAAGAACCAATGAGATTCATTCTGGTGTTACGCATCACAATTGAGCTTCGGCAAGAACCAATGAGATTCATTCTGGTGTTACGCATCACAATTGAGCTTCGGCAAGAACCAATGAGGTTCATTCTCGTGTTACGCATCACAATTGAGCTTTGGCAAGAACCAATGAGGTTCATTCTCGTGTTACGCATCTCAATTGAGCTTCGGCAAGAACCAATGAGGTTCATTCTCGTGTTACGCATCACAATTGAACTTCGGCAAGAACCAATGAGGTTCATTCTCGTGTTACGCATCACAATTGAGCTTTGGCAAGAACCAATGAGGTTCATTCTCGTGTTACGCATCACAATTGAGCTTCGGCAAGAACCAATGAGGTTCATTCTCGTGTTATGCATCACAATTGAGCTTCGGCAAGAACCAATGAGATTCATTCTCGTGTTACGCATCACAATTGAGCTTCGGCAAGAACCAATGAGGTTCATTCTCGTGTTATGCATCACAATTGAGCTTCGGCAAGAACCAATGAGATTCATTCTCGTGTTACGCATCACAATTGAGCTTCTGCAAGAACCAATGAGGTTCATTCTCGTGTTACACATCACAATTGAGCTTCGGCAAGAACCAATGAGGTTCATTCTCGTGTTACGCATCACAATTGAGCTTCGGCAAGAACCAATGAGGTTCATTCTCGTGTTACGCATCACAATTGAGCTTCGGCAAGAACCAATGAGGTTCATTCTCGTGTTACGCATCACAATTGAGCTTCGGCAAGAACCAATGAGGTTCATTCTCGTGTTACGCATCACAATTGAGCTTCGGCAAGAACCAATGAGGTTCATTCTCGTGTTACGCATCAAAATTGAGCTTCGGCAAGAACCAATGAGGTTCATTCTCGTGTTACGCATCACAATTGAGCTTCGGCAAGAACCAATGAGATTCATTCTCGTGTTACGCATCACATTTGAGCTTCTGCAAGAACCAATGAGGTTCATTCTCGTGTTACGCATCACGTTTGAGCTTCTGCAAGAACCAATGAGGTTCATTATCGTGTTACGCATCACGTTTGAGCTTCTGCAAGAACCAATGAGGTTTGTTCTCATGCATCAAGCAGGTTCGGTTGAGCATTTGTGTTCCGAAGATGAACGAAAGTCTTACGGGTTTGGAACGACGTGAGAGTGAGTAATTAATGACAGCATTTTCATTTTTGTGTGAACTATCCCTTTAAGCTAAGCAAGAAGCATGTTGATAAATGACCTCAGAGAAACTGTTAATGACCGTAAAGTAATTTGCGCACACAAATGGCCCACCTGCCATAAGCTCACCTGGAGTCAGTGACGCTCTCTAATTCTGAACAAGCTGAGTCGGGATATTTTCCTATTAGGTGACCCTTCCAATAGACCATATCATTTCAACATCAGCCAAGATTGATTTTCATCTCTCACAATTGGATTTAATTCCCATGCTGCATTCTTTCAACAAATCAAGTTTGCTTGAATGGGAGAGCGCCGTTTGACATTTACAGATGCGTTGTATCCTTGGTTGAAACAGTAAAATGCCTTGGGATGCTCTAATACAGCACATTATTAAATGTTTTATTCATTGTTGCTGATTGTGTTGCCAACTAAAAGGTCCGAGTATATAGAGCAAGTGCTCAGCCATACTAACTGTGACATTTGTGTATTCATAGTTAGTTATTAGCCCACTTGTCTTTGGTTGAGGGTCCCGGCTGGACCCTATTCTGAAATAATCCACTATGTCATGTATTTGACTGGTCAGAAGCTATTTCCCGCGGGTAGGCACATCAGATAGGTTGTTATGTCTGTGACTATGACTAATTTTAGGATGCCACAAAAAACACAGGTGCGTGATTTCTTTTAAATTAGTGTGTATCAGTGTGACGTTCAGATGTATTTCTTTCCTGTAGTGTGATTTCTTTTTAAGAAGGCGTTTTTGACCACTACAGTACATTGTTTTCATCCTCTCAATGAGTAATAAATCCATAGTGAGAGCCATTAAAGCGGAGAGATAGACATCAGCTCCACTGCCTTACAGTTTGAGAGCAGAAGAGAGCTTATCAGAGTCTCTCATACCTCCGCCTGTCACTCATCTCCCTCACTGCAAAGCACAACACAGGCCAAATCATCTCCTAATGAGTGCTTTTTTTATTCAAGCCCAATGCAATTACAAATTCCAAAATAACTCGTAATCGCACAATTTCAGGGAAAACATTTTTTTAAAGGGATAGTTCACCCAAAAATGAAAAATTCTGTCATCATTTACTCACAGAAGATGATATTTTGAAGAATTTACTAAGAATTTAGCCATTTACTTCCATAGTATGGAAGAAAATACTATGGAAGTCAATGGGGCCCATCAACTGTTTGGTTACCAACATTCTTCAAAATATCATCTTCTGTGAGTAATTGATGACAGAATTTTCATTTTTTGGGTGAACTATCCCTTTAAAGTAAACCTGATTTGCTAAAAAAAAAAAAAATCACATTTACTATTGAAACATGACGTATTTCCAGGTGGAACAGAATATTTAGTGAGAAAAAACTGTAGGGTGGGACTTGATTATGTCCACCGTGATTAGCATGTGTAAAGCAGGCGTTGAATATCAGAACCAGACAGAATGTGATTTTCCTAAAGCAACGGATAACAAGTCTGGCCTGAGTTCAGGAGAAAAGGAAACATTTTAAAAGAAGAACAAGTTATTATAGTGCAGTTTAAGAGTAAAAATTATTTGCAGTGTCATTCACTGTAAGACCACGAAAATCTTTTTAGAAAAAAGTGTAGAAAGTTTGTAAGATAAATTGTGAGAAATCCATAATAGTATTCCTAGGTGCAGTTCTTTAGAAAATGAAAGGCTTCAAAATGTGTGTGATTATTATTATCCTACTCATGAGGCTGACTTGTCTAATACAACAAAACTTTACACTGGTAAATCTCAACATATAATTTTAACCCCCCCCCCCCCCCCCCCCCTTTTTTTGAAGTAGGAAGTACTAGACAGTCATTTTTAAAAGTATGTAAAGTATAGTGAAATTACATTAACTTTCATAGGAGAATTTGCATGCTAGGTGATAAAAGAAAAATCTTGTAGTAGTAATATGTCTTATATAACTACCGTAACTACTATTCTTTTGTAAATCTTGTTGGGTTTTAAGACTGTTCTTAAAGTCCCCCTGTGGTGAAAATCAAGCTTTTAATGTTGTTTATATGTCTATGTGTTGTTTTTAATATGCTTTAAAACAAACCATGTACAAATTCATAAGTCAACACCATTGCTGAGTAGCTATTTTCTCCAGTCTCAAAAACACGGTTTGAAATCGATGGTGTTTCTGACGGCACAAACTACCTTGCAACCAATCAGATCAACGCTGAGCTGAGTGAGTGAATGGAGGCGGGGCTCATTTACATATTCATAGAACTGGTATACTAAATGAGGCAAGGGTGTAGAGTCGCATTCAAGCTATTCTAAGGCATGAAGATTTTTTTTCGAGGAAAAAAAAAACGTTTAAATATGTAATTTTGGTGATCAAAGAAGAGATTGTTAACTACAGTAGGACTTTAAAGGAGATATTACTAAGTTTAAAAAGTTATTTATTATTATTTTTAAAAAGATTTTTAATAAGATTTTTTCTGCTCTGTCTTAAGAAGTATTTTTGTAAACACAAAATATGCTTAACTTTTTATTTATCCATCTTATTTTTCAACGCGGAAGTAAAGTGCACGATTTATTAGCCGCTATAGGGAAATAAAAAGAAGAAAATATCAAGTGCAGTAAACTGTAAAACTGTTTGCTACAAACCAGCGTGTTTATAATTTAGACATTACATTAAAATAATATGGTAAGAAATACCAGTTTACAATATCAAGCAGCATAACGAGCTGTTTTGTACAGCTAAAAATAACTGGAAGTGGATGATACCGGAAGCCAGACACATTAAAATTAGAAATGTCCTCTTACCTGAAAAATAAGGCAGATAGAATAATAAGAAATAGCAGTTAATAATTATTTTATTCTTAAGAATGCTTCGTGAATCCGAACCCAGAAATGTTTTAAGTACATAAATATGGTCAATTCTGATTTCAAGTTGAGTTTAATTGACACGAAGGTCCCTTCTGTAAGAGTTACGTCAAGTACCATTATGCCTACTCATATCATAGCCGTTAAATGTGTCGAGTCTCAGCTTTGGTCAACCTGATAGAAGACCCTTTCTCCATGAAGAGAAGCTGTCTGGTCTGGCGTGTCTTACCCCAGTGTAGTTTAAACAAGTATAGCCGTCTCTAAGCCACTGCCATCATTTGTTTACACCATCTATGCTGAGCACTCTCTCCCTCTTCCTCTCTCTCTCTTTCTCTCTCTCACACACAGAGGACAAATACATAAGGTAATTTTAAAGGGGTCCTATTATGCTTTTTCACATTTTCACCCTTCCTTAGTGTGTAATATTGCTGTTTGAGCATGAAAAAGGTCTGCAATGTTGCAAAGTACAGAGACCCTCCAAAGGCAGTTATTCTCTATATCAGTGTCAGTG